GAAGAGATCTGCGCACGTTTGAACAAGGCCAAACAATTTTAGAACCACTACACCCACCCGCACTCTTTCTTTTTTTTCTTTCACGGTGAGGTCAGGTTTAGGGCACAACTACTCGGCTCGCTTGCAAGCGGTGTTCAACCAGATAAAGTAACAACAGGGCACACTCATTGGCTCAGCGACGGCGCCGGGAATCTATCGCCGAGTCGACGCAACTTCAAGCCACAAAAATGGTTAATATATCATTGCTATGGCTGCCAACGTGGTGGCTGGCAACGATGGCGTTAGCAGCACGTCGACCTTGTTCGCGCGTGGAAAACGCGCCATACGTTTCTAACCCTTTCGGTCCTGGTGTCCTACAAAAAGGAGAGAGAGAGAAATAAAAGTTTATTTAGAAACAGTGTTCCAAGCGAGGCCCGGTATCACCCTAAGGTGGGAGGGTTCCCTAGTCCAGGAACCCTCTGACTTCGACTGCCCTCTTGGCCCTGGCGACGAGTTGTCACTGGTCTTCCAGGTCCTCGAGGACGAGCTTGCCCTCCGACATTTCCATTAGGTGGTCGTCGTTTATTCTTGAGGCTTGGTCCAGCTCCAATTGCATGTCGTGGTTTGCATGGCACTGGCATTACAAGAGCAAATGTTCCAGGGTGTCCTGTACGCTGCAGAGCGGGCGCATGCAGCCGTGTGTCGATGGGTAGAGGCGGTGCATCAATATGCCATGTATGTAAGTGTTGCTTTGTAGGCGTCTGAAAATCACGCTCTCTTTTTTGGTTAGTCTTGGATAGGGTGGAGGGTACACCCGTCGCCCCAGTTTGTAGTGTTGAAGTAGCGACGCGTAGGTGTTTTCTACTACCTCCATCTCTGCAGCCACGGATCGGGTATTCTTTGGTCCCAGGGCAGCCACCACCACATTTAAAGACGCCGCGGTGATCTTCACTGACTCGCAAGCCGCTTGCCAGATTTATGCGAAGGGCCACGTCTCAGCCGACGCAATTAACATCCTGCAACGGCGAAGCTCTCCACTTCCATATACCTGCGTAATCTGGGTACCTGGACACGAGGGTCTACAGGTAAATGAAGCGGCCCACGCCGCTGCCCTACAAAAAGAACAGGAACAAACTTTGCTGCCTAATCTGACAGAATCAAGTCAAAAATTGAAAAAAAAAAACAAGATGTCTGGACTATCCTCAATACACCTTGTCTTGTCACCTAGAAGATCTTGGCTCATACCCACAACAAGGGGGATTGGCCACACTGTACCTTATAATGGAATCAATACACCTGCGCAAGCATAAGTAGTCATTTTGTCGTCTTCTTCTTCTTTGAAACTCTGCCAAGTGAAAAACAAAATGACGGATGACAATGCGATAACGGTGATACTTACCAGAACCAAATAATAAATGACACCTTCCTTGTTAGCTATTTTATCAGTAGCTATCGTATTTCTTCAAGTCGTGTCTAAGATCTTTAACTTGCTATTTACAAAATGGGTATTCCCTAACACTAACGTATCGCCCGCAACAGTGGACGACCTTGAAGTCCTAAATAAGGACACCACGACGCTCTACCAGGGTACTAGGGCTCAGTGGTTGTCACACCTCGGAATGAATTCGTGCCAATCCAAATGTGTAGATCTTGTAAACGCTCCCGATTTCTTCTCATTCTAGTCGAGAAACCTGCCGAAATCACTTAGTATGTAAGTGGTGTCTAATAGCGAAATAATACGTAATGAGTTTTAATTTATCACGATCAGCGCACAAAACGAACAAAAACACGAGAAAGTGCACGACACAAGCGTTAAGAACTGAAAGCTGTATGGAAGAAACGTGTCATATACGTGCAAACATAAGTCATAAAAAACCTTGTTACCCCCCACCAAGCCCGTAATCAAGTATGCTGTAGATACGAAATCTCAGCATCTGTGGGAGCTATTAAGGCTGGCTCAAGCACCCGTCTCCTGCTTTAACGATTCCATACGTTTCAGCGATTCTATACTTCAAAAACGACGTCTAGATTTTAGGATTTTAGTCATTGCGCGTCCTCTCTCTCTATAGGGGGAAGGAGCGGCGCCGCGTCTGGAAACCATGCGCTTACGCGCTGCAACGGACGTACGTGTGGTCAGGCCTTAAAATATGCCCCCATTTCACTGCGAATGTAAGCTTTTGTAATTCACCTTCACATATTGCAACTTACTTTTCTAGTATGTATTGTGCTAGTATGTTCACGAATTGAATTGAATTTTCTACAATAATCTCTCTCTCTCTCTCTCTCTTTCTATATATATATATATATATATATATATATATATATATATATATATATATATATATATATAAATCACGTATAATCTACACCATCCTTCTTTATACAATGCCCCTCGAGGGCTCTGTAAGTTACTGTAAATAAATAAATCTCGAATTGGTCGATCTTCCAGCAATAAAGGGATAAAGGGTCAATGAAAAGACTCTCCACAGGATCGTTCATGACAACGGACGCAATATATTTACGTTAACACACTTAGCAAAATTACGTAGTAATGTAAAAGAAAACAAAAATGCAAAAAAAAATAAATAAACGGCGAGTGTTTTGCGAGAAAACAGCTCGATGTAGCGTTCAAAACACAAATACCGCGGATGCGGCCCTACGAAAGGCCTTCTTGGACTGCGGTATGCGCGGCGAAAGTGTGCACGGCAATAGCGTCAGTTCTCCGCCCAGGATCTGTGGTCGATAAGGGCGTTCGGCCAGTTCACGGAGGCCAGTTTCCGGCATCAGTCGAGTGCACACGACGTCCTCGTCCCAGGAAGAAGCGGGAAGAGCCAGTCAAATGGCCTGCGTGCTGTTTGCGCAATCCCCGCATTTGGTGGGGGAGGCGCGCAACTGCTTGAGTATCGCCACCACCAGTACGAAGACAATTATAGCCACCGCAGCGATGACAACAGGGCGTCTCGACTCCAGTCGCTCTTCCTTGTGCACGTCGATGCAAAAACACACAAAAAAAGACTGAGTAAGGCATCTATACACTGAAACGGTTTACAGCAACATCAAGCTGAATTGGCACATACGATCGCCAATTGTCGCCCTCATCCGCCGGGCCTACTATACGCTATAGTGTTCGTGCAACTGGTTCGTACTACGCATCCACCGTCCCTCGTATTTCTTCCATTTGATCTGCTGCTGCTTGCTATGCGTTTTTAACACGATGTAAGTGCTTTATGCCGGGATTCCCCAGCGCTTTACTGGCATCATTTCCGTCGCGGAAATGACGTCGGTGTTCGAGTGTTCAAGCTCCTTCCTCGGAATTTTAAATTTTGTACATGTACACGCACACATTACCATCAACTTGACTACGCCAACTGCAGGGCCTTTCCCCGTGGCCTTTCCCATGTTCCATTAGTCAACCCGGTCCTGTGCTTTAATCTCGTCTGTCCGCCTAACTTTCTCCCCCTCACACATCTGCCTTCTCTTGGAATCTAGTCAGTTACCCTTATGGCCAGCAGAAATACTAATCTACAGCGGCTGCTTTTCTCCCGTTATCTACCTAGGCTATGAGATGTTAAGCAAGAATTTGACAACAGGCTGAAGAAGCCTATTAAGCGTAGTACCGGTGCGTTGGTGAGGCGAGCCGTCTGAACTGGCTCTTGCCGGTGTTCAGCAGCTTCCTCGGGGAGCGGCGGCTCGGCCGGCACCGCTTCCGGTTCTGCCGCAGTGGTCGCACCTGCAGCCGGTGTTTCTTGTTTGGACGCTCTCCCAGAGGGCTCCGTCGGCCCACCAGGCGTCGCAGGCGTAGGCTTCTCGGAGGTCTCATCCTGCACGGGCACGGCTCCCGATGCCGCCTCCACTGCAGCCGCGTCGCCGGCCAACGGAAGGACAAGCGGGGAGGCCGTTGCAACTGGTGCTTGAGGAACAACCGGTGGTGAAATCCGAGAAGGCGGCGCGACGGGGATATTAGACGTAACTTCAGGACGCGACACGGCGGCTTCTACCTCGGCCCGCGCGCTATCAGAAGGCGCTTGCTTGCTGGACGCGGAACGCCGAGTGCGACGGGAACTGCTGGAACGCCGCGAGACTTGAGACCTGTCGTCGGCACCAGTCAGCGCAGAGCTTATCTGCGATCCCGCCATGTCGCCACGTCGCGAAGAAGGCGATACCTCGTGGTTTTCGGCGCGCCGGCGAGAACGATCGTCCCGCTTTGAATGCTTATGCGTCGGCTTTTCGGCTTCGGTCGCCGAAGGGTCCTTGTCAGGCGCGTCCATCTCCGCCAGACTGATCAATGCTGACGCGGGTAGGTTCTTCTGGCCGTCGCCGCTGCTCGTTCGGCACGTTGATTGGTTGGCTGCTTGGGTCCTGCAATATGGCTCGACCCACTACGGGAATCAGCTATGCACACACAGATACGTGCACGCACGCGCACCTTCATACACACAAAAAAATGTAAGGTGCCTCCAGAAATGAAATACTGGCTGCCCACCTGGCTATGTGGTCACATAAAGTACGGACAGTGCTACCTCAATTAAAAGGCAAACATGTGTGAACGGTGCAAACTGAAACATGAAAACCAATGCCACAAGTCTGCATGTACCCTTGTTCATCATTTTATTCCATTCATGCAAAACACAATTTACTAAATCACGCTCTAAACAGTGCCACTACAGCCCTAGACTGTCAAGCAGCATAATGCTGTGTTTTAAAGCATGTGTCAACTCTCTAGGGTTCCATAGTCCATCGGCCAATGCACTACAATGGGCACAAAAATTTTGCCTGTGTAGCCACTGGAAGCTTCCCTTGACCTCGCATGGTACTACAAAAGCGCTCAGTGCAAGGCAGCTTAGAAAACGGGTCCTAGACAACCTGAAGATTCAAAAAATGGCTTTTCTGGGTTATAAAGTGCTTAAATCAAAGCACACAATGAAGTCGACCCACCCTTTTTTTTTACCACAACAAAGGAATAATCGAAAGCACTTGCCTGTATTCCACATTTGTGCATGTTCTTATATGTTTTTTTTTGCTCTCAAAATAAATGTTCAATAATTCTGTATTTTGTTGTTTTTATTTGTTTTGCACAGTATACCTATTTTATTCTATGATGACATTGCTATTCCCTTCAAGCATGCATGTTTAGAGAAATGACACAGCAAGCAAAAACACAAATCCATTGATTCTCTGAAAGAACATAGCCATGCCAACATAAAATGTTGAGTCCTCCTAATTCATATTTCTCTTAAAAACAAAAAGAATGACAAACATAATGGCTAAATGAACTATTTCTACAAATGTAAAAATTAGCTAGTCTTAACAGTATGAAAAATTTAGAATGTGAGAAAATGAGAATGCCTATTAAAGCATGAAGTAGTTTAAATAGCTTTTTTTATTTTCTTCCAGAACACCTGACTTGTCAACTCACAAAAAAAAACTGGACTAAAACTTAAGTGCCGCAGCAATTTCTCATGCTCAACCAGCAGGCAAAAGTCATGCAGCAGAAGTATTGATGGCACGGAGTAAGATAAATTGTGGGAAAGAAGGTGAAATTTTGTATTTCTTCTTTCAGTTTTTCTTCTCTTACTGTTTAACTAGTACACAAGAACATATCCACAAACTCACCTCACTGAAACGACACAGCAATCAGATTTGCACGTCATTAACCATGACCTTGTAAAAACTTGCACCTTCCCAAATTCATTTAAGAAGATTATTGAATGATTACATTGATGATATCATACAGACTGACCAATCATTCAAATTAAATGTTTCACCTCTACAGTACTAGCCCGATGACAACTTAGCTCCTAGCATGCTGGAGCAACCATCATTATAAATAAGAAATAAAAAAAAAACATTAGTTAAGCTCCCCAAGTATTAATCTTGCTTTTGCACTTGCAATGTGATTAATGGCATACACGATAGTCCATGGCACAGTCATTCCGACACATACAGGGGATATGACTAAAAAAAAAAGAAACATTGGTCGCATCAGCGTGTTGTGAATTGGCATGCAAAGGTCCGCACTCTCATGCACATCACAGTGAGCCGCCTCTTTTATCACACACTGTAAAGAATGCTAGGGAGACCTACTGTCAGCCTCAAAAGTTTGCAGGATCTGCAGCCTAGCCACGAAAAACTGCATCGGTGCGTCACCTAACGAGAAACGGCGGGTGTTGAGGCTATGGGCCTCCGTGATTAGAAATGGGGCGTTTAGTCAATGCCGGATCTTATTGTGGACGCTGCGGCTGATATCCTCGACACTCGCCATGTCACAGTAGGTCACGAAGCAATGCAGTTTTTCGTCGCTCAGCCACGCGCTGCAGATCCGGCAAACTTCTGCGGCCGGCAGAACCTACCTACATTTTTAAATGTAATAAAATATAGCCGCTAGTTGAGGAAAAGTCGGGATGCACACATTCACACTCCCCTGCCTTAGAGACTGCAAAAACCTGCTCACAAGAGCAGGCTTTCCCCTGATCACTAATACACACAATTGTCATGTTAAAAGTCACACCTAGCAAGTCACTGTTATCACCAGGCACAGATGGGGAATCGCACAGAAAAGTTCACTCGCTGACAAGAATGCACACTGTTAGTGACTGCATCCAGCAATCGATGCTGATTGGCATATGACACACTCGGTGAGTCAACCAAAGCTCTTTCCCTTCCGATACTGCAGAGTCAATGACATGGCAGCTTAGCGGTACGAGAGCTACGGCCTCTTGCAACTCATGCCATTGGGCCACAATGGCCGGCCCAAGCTGCGCTACCACAGCACCAGCTGAAACAGCAAAGGTCGTATCACTGGGAAAGCACAAGCATAAAACGACCACAGCAGCATCGGCCTGCATTCTGTAAGCACGACGTTGAGCCACTCGACAGAGGCTCCCATTCGTTGCGTGTGCCGCCCTGTAGCATGGAAAGGTATCGCTCAGCCAATAAGCAGGGCTACTACATGGCAGCCAGGAACGAACACCTTCCACTGCCTTCCACAACCAGAAAAGTGGGGCGAACAACTGCCGCGACACGGCAAAGCAACTGCTCAGGGTTGAGAGCTCCGGTTTTTCAACCCTCATGAAAAAATGGATCTGCAGCGATTTCATCTCTTGGCAGAGTCAGAGGTTGTCCTGCAGAAAGCTGAGTAAGGTGGTCTCGTAGTGCTCGCTAGTGTCCAAGTGGCGCAGGCTGTGTCGTTCGGCTGGGTACACCTGCAACCCAATCAATGCCAGTTCAATAATGCGTACTGCCAAAATCAGATTGCGAAATCGAAAAGCACACATTGAATTACCACAGAAAAGCAGCATATGGGTACGTAGACAAGTGCCCTGGCAGTACCTGAAGCTGGTAAGGCTTTCCCGCTTTGACAAGTGCGGCCACCAGCTGGCTGGTGTGTGTGAAGTGCACATTTTCGTCCATCAGGCCGTGCACTATGAGCAGCCGATTCTGCTCACTCGGCAGCTGTGAGACATAGGAGAGCACCGATCCCCTTCTGTAGCCCTGAGGGTTGTCCTGAGGGGAACCCATGTAGCGCTCTGTGTAGCCGGTATCGTAGAGCTCCCACGAAGTGACCGGTGCCCCAGCGATGGCTACCTTGAAGATGTCTGGACGCTGCGCCAGCCCCATCAGTGACAGATAGCCACCTGCGCAATGATCAGATTGAATTATACTGCGAGCCCCCTCGGCAACGTAGTGAACACTGTTTGCTTCACAGACTGCCCTAACAAAGACATGATCTCTGGCTGAAACAAACATTCATCATGCTACTTCGATGGTAGATCCTTGCTTTTCACGCAAGGTTCGAAACTTGTGGGTCTTACATGGTTCTAGCATAAAGCCCATGTCATCCTGGCTCCTGCTCAGTTTTCAAAAATATTAAGCCAAATGCCAATTAACATAATATACAGTAACCATGAACACAGTTCTTGCATTCCAAGTTGTCCCCTTGCTTCTAATCATTTTAAAGCATACCTGTGGGACTCCAGTGAAACAGTGTCAGTTCATTGCAAAGATGGTTTAATTCACTCATGTGCATGCAATGCCCATCGTTTCACAATGCAGAAGACTCAACTAGTCACCAGAGGGGTTGTCAGCACTTTTTAATAGAAACACTCAGAAAAAAAAAATGACCTGGTCACTAAGCTACCAATATAATGACCACTTTTAGCGGCACTTTCGTGCTTATCATAAACGAGTTCGACTGTACATCTATTCTTTCGTTTCGAATGCGTACCTAGAAATTGTGAAAACTTCTAATTCGTCTCAAAGCAAATTCATACGCTGCAATTAATATTAGTCGGAATATTAGAAGAGCAAGAACATTCACAAAGGCGTATTCAGAAGGCAACTACTGAAAGCTGACTCAGCTAAAGATTGCATTTACTAAGCATGTGTGGATATTCGAGCTCTTCGAATATTCGAACATATAGAGTAGTACTCGAATTCACTTTGACACGAATTTAAATTGTTTGAAATTCCGGTATTTGAAATGAACAAATAGGTGCATATTGATTCGAATGTGCTTCCCCCTCTTGATCAAGGTGGTGCAACTGCAGTATAGAAATGCTATGCCAGGAACACACCCATTTAAAAAAAATCCTAACTGCTGCGAAGTCCTACTTCAAGGTTAAATACAATTACTACTCTCACATCTGTTAATATTAAGTTGAAAAGCTTGTTACAGCGGCTCATACTATCTAAGTATATTGTATTTTAGAACATAACGTATATTACATGTTATCACATGCATCCCGCTGAAAATCAAATCTTGCTATGATGCAAAGTTGCTTGTACTTCACTTCAAATAAAAAATCGTAACATTCGCGCATGCCTCGCTCAAACTTTTAAAGATGTTGTGCAGGTTAGTTGGGTCAAGACAAATATGCTCATTTTCCTTTCTAATATGCACTATACAGTCGCCGACCGATTTTTCGGACCTGGCGGGGACCGAAAAAAAGTATGAAAAATCGAACAGTCCGAAAAATTCGTTTTCGCCAAAAATCTGAAGTTTATTGCATCAGGCAGGTTTAAAAAAGTCCTTGATGCTGCCTTGCCTCAAACTACGCTTAGAGGCAATTTGGTTTGCCCGTATTTGCGCCAAGGTGACATCGTCGCCGTAAACGCTCGACAAAATTGTCACCGCGTTGGCGATCTCCGACGGCTGCGGGCGGTCGTCGTTGTCATCCGACGACAACGACGACCGCCATCCGGCGTCGACCGTCATCCAGCGATATCTAGCTGCGAACGTCCACTCTCTATTAGCTTGATTATGGCAGCTTTCTTCTCCATCGTCAGGGTCGTATACTTCCCACGCTTCTTCACACCACCTGGCTCCCGCGATGGCACAGATAGCGGAGCCATGGCACCGAGAACACAAAATTCGATGCCGCAGATAGCCGCTGCGAAGCACACAACGTCTCGACGCTACGCGACACAACGCGTGCAGAATGGCGACTGAAAAAAGCTGCAACGACAATAAAAAAATCCTTCTTTCGCCTCCTTCCCGTGCGATGTGATGACGATAGCGCTGACCGAAGACGAAAAAACGGCGTCCATCACCGCGTCTTTTAAAAAGCAAACACGGCCTCCGAAACTTAAAACATGGTGTGCGCATTCTAATCTCGGAGGCAGGAAAGGCATCTGAAGACCAAGCTTAGCCAAGCCGACAGAAAATCCAACATGGCGGCGTTCACAATGGCTTGGAGCGTGGCACAAAACGAGCGATTTAGTCCGAAAAATCGAACTTTCAGGGGCAAATTCCCCCGAAAAATCGGTCGAAACAATGCATTAGCTCTATGGAATCCCTGACGGTGCATTTATGAAGTCCGGAATATAGAACAAGTCCGAATTTTTGGAGTCCGGAAAATCGGTCGGCGACTGTATACCATTCCAACTACTGAATTCGAAACTATAAGGCCAAATCACTATTCACTTCAAATTCATTTCAAACCAAAAATTCACTATTCACACAAACCCACAGAAAGTCAACAGATCTCGGTGATTCTTGCCAATGGCATGTTTCTATTTTGATTACAGCGCAGCAAATACTAGCTAAATTTCTGATGTGAAGCAAATTCGCATATGAAAGTGCGAGTGTGAATCACATCAAATATTTGCAGAATACTTCTCCAATACGTTTTTGAACACTTTGAAGCAAAATTACTGAAAAAATGTTGAAGCAGATACCTAAGCATATTATGAGATGAGAACAAGAAAGGGTTTTTCACCAGGTTGGCAGAGTGTTACAAGGGTGCTGCTAATCGGTGTTGAGTTCCTTAGAAGCCTCATTAAGAACGAGGCAATGCAGAGACCAATAAGTGTTTGTTTATGCGATTCGGTACAATCAAAGTGGTGTCAACAATACTACACGTGAACAGAAAAGGCACTACCCTTCACTTTGCATTCTTCAAATTCTATTGAAGCTTAACTTATGTTGCAGACAAGGGCACGTTTCTTTCAGGCGGAGTGTTCCTCATCGGCTGCGCAGACTTTACTCTCCCATTCCACGGCAGTGCATTGCTTTAAGGGCAGTTGTTAGCGTCGTCATCAAGTCATGGGAGAATTGGTATTACGCACATCACTCAGAAGAGCTCCGACTTGATTTTAAGCGAGTTAAACTGTTATACTTATTTCTTAAAGGTCTGAAAACTTCGAATAATGTAATACCGAAGCGAATCAAATCGAATAGCAAAAAGCTTATTGATTGACATTTGGGGTTTAACGTTTCCAACCCATCATATGGTTATAAGAGACGCCGTAGTGGAGGGCTCCAGAAATTTTGACCACCTGGGGTTCTTTAACGTGCACCCAAATCTGAGCACACGGGCCTACACCATTTCCGCCTCCATCGGAAATGCAGCCGCCACAGCCGGGATTTGATCCCGCGACCTGCGGGTGAGCCGCCGAGTACCTTAGCCACTAGACCACCGCTGCGGGGTGGATAGCAAAAAGCTTTTAGAAATCTATTTCGAAAGATCAAATATTCGCACACCCCTAATTTGGTACATCATGGAGTGAATGAGCAGTTTTGCGAATGGTACAATTGATAAAATCTGAATATAACAAAGCAATGCGCCAGTTTTATTGACATCATAATGAAAGTATGCTGAACCATGAACTGGGCCTTGATAAAGAGATAGCAAAGTGCCATGCTTTGGAATGATATTAAATCTATTACTGATCGACTGTGTTAAAGACGGACTGTTTTTAATTAGGGAAGTGCCCTTTAACATTAAGCATGCCTCACCCTTCTAATAAAAAGTTTTGTGAGCCCATGCATTTTTTTCATGGGTTGAGCATATTAGGTAAATGCAATAGCTAGGGCAGCAACGGTATGCCGACAGTAATGCAGTTCAACAAAAGGATAACAACTGCCCACCATAAGACCAGCCATGGATTGCCACCCTGGACAAGTCAATGTATTCCTTCTCCTGGGCCAGCCATTGCAGCACCTCCACATGATCTGCTATTTCAACCGTTCCCTGTGAAAAACAAACAACAGCCTCCTTTTTATTTTGCCATAAGCAACACATTATAAACATTATCATGACACTAAATTGTTCAATAGCATTAAAAAATAGCGGTGTACTAATATTCACGCGTCCGAATATTTTTCTTCTAGTGTTCGCCATTTGATTCGGTTCACATTAGAATTTTACTATTTGAACTATAGTCATATTTTTGGAAAATAAATATGACGGTTCATAATAGAAAATCAGCCTGCAGAGTGCTCAGTCGTGCGTTTTGGGGTGCTGACATGCAAAGCTGCTAATCGCTCCCACCAGTGCTCTAAACACATAGCGCAGCTAGCATGGCCATGGAGTACATTGCCATAAAATGCCAATCCTCGGTTCCAGGGAGCCAGTGGGCAATGCAATTCATTGCTTGCGACTAAGCATGCATTACGGCTTCTTCGTTCTTGCGTGTCTGTTAGCGTGATGCTCTCGTTCGCAAAGTTCGAATTCGTTTTATGGTGCATCGGTGCTGCCAGTGGAGTTCATTGTGGGCAGAGTTAGGCCTAGCCACGACTCCCAGGAGCAAAAAAGTGTCATGCTTGATCACGAGTACAAAGCACCATCCTGTGATGGTCTTCGTCACTAGGTCCAAAGTGCTGATAAGCAAAACCTCTAACCACGGATTTCACCAGTTAGCACTATAAAATACAGTCTGTCCAAGATACACGTCTGCGATGTTTGCGACGAGCGCAGCACACTATCATGCTTCGATTAGTGAGGTTCGGCTTGCAGCTGCCAAACTAAAGCAGAATTACACTCCCAAGTGATCACCGACCTGTGCACACAGAACGAGTGCAAACGCATCACTAAGTATTGTCGACAGCCGTGACCTCGCGATGCGCCAGCAGCAGACGACCCTCTCCCGGAGCGAGGATCAAACCAATGGTGAAGTATGCTGGGGCAGACGCAGCCAATCGAAAGCCTTGAAACCGATTTTAAACATTTGGTTTTTGTAAGCTTGTTTCTGAATGAAGGACCAAGTTGAAAACAAAAATTTGAAGTCTCGGATATGCACCGTGTTAAAACAACATTGACGAACAAGATGCCGAGATGGACAGAACTAGACGAGACAAAGCATAAATTTGAGGACGGAGAAATACTCTTTCTTATGACCCCAATATGACAGTGCCCGGTTGTGCCACTGCAAAGCTATAATTCTTTGGAATATAATTTAGAATATGCTTGGGGTCCTCTGCCACTTTTTTTCACAACTTTGCTTTGAAGTATTAGAAAAATATTCGAAAAATATTTGGTTACATTCAGACTCAAAGCTTACTTATTTGAGTTCTCTTGGCACTCAAAATTTTGCTATTCACAAAGCTTTCTTAAACTATAAACATTACAGAGAACCCAGCTATTGCCATGACAAACCAAGTCCCCTAGACAAAAGATTAGCTTTGGTCTGAGGCTCTCCTTGTTTAGTGTTCACCAGGCTCTACCTTCTCGCAATCAACTTGCTTTGTTAGAAAGTATGGCACCTTTATACATTGCAAGATACTGTTGGCCAACTCTTGAAAACCAAATGCAGTGTAATTACAGACTCTACCATAAGCACCGTGCAGTGATAACAAAAAATATTGTTTTTTACTTAGGCACTCTTCATACAAGATGCCTTGCTTAATCTATGATGCAAATAATTTACTCCGTACTAGTAGCCTAACCACTTACACAATTTCAAAAAGAAAGGAAAGTGTTTCAGGGACCAGACATCCCAGGTGGCTCACAGATTAATTTTAACTGCCTAAGGTAGCGCAGCAAACTTCTATCAGGAGAGGTCATCTCATTCCAGTTCGCAACTTCCCATTCAGCAGCAGAATATCACAACCACCACAGCAAATGATTCGTGGTTTCTCAAATGCCAGCCACTGCACACAATAAAAATGGTACCGTCAACCTAAACAACCAACCATTCGGCCTTTGATATGTGACTCAAAGTCGATACCACGATGCCGTGATCCCCGGCAATCCAGTACCACGACCACGTAGTCCTCGGAGGCCAGGAGGTGCTGCCGCAGGTGTCTGCAACTCAAGGCAGAATGATAACTTTCAAACGGCATGAAGCAAGAGCAAGGACAATTATCTGCAAGAACTACGGCTTTAACATGCACAGAGTTCATTGAAACTTCATAAATTCAATTCAAGGCAGTCACTAGATTAACATCATGTTGGCCAATTTGAATGCCACCAACAGCGCTTCCTTAAGGTGGCGGTTCTACTGTCGCCATCTTGCGAGTAGTTCTAGAAAAAACACCAGACGGCGCCACCAAGTCAGGACTGGAAGGCCAACATTTCGGAGGTGAACTGACACACTCGTGCCGGCGCGCCACACTGCATGACGAGGGGGTGCAAATCGCGCTGACACGGTTAGAAGAAATGAGGCACTGAGCTGGGGCTTTTTTTTTTTCTCCCCTTCAACGACACCTCCATCTCTCTCCATGCTCACTAGCCCCTGACCCCTACGGTCGCTGCTTTTCAAGAGATCCCTCATGTAGGCTGCGTAGCCTGCTGGGCCAGCTGCTCTACGTTCCATACAGTGCCGGAATGCGGGGTTGAGTGAAAAACTCTATCGCGGAGGTCACAACAATGTATACAACGGAGATCAAAACTTGGACTATGAGTATTCATGCGAGGTTCAACAGAACAGTTCGTTCTGCAAATAATTGGGGTTGCTGGAGCATGATGCGGTTCGGTGGGACAGGAGAAGGCAAATTATATTTGACTATATATATGTATACTTCCTTCCCAGTATGACCAAAGCTTCCGAATTTTCAAAACAAAACAAAAAAAACGGGTAGTTCGGCAAATCGCGTGCTAAGAAGTGCAGCCGCTGTGACTCACGGTGCCCAACACGTGCCGACTGCATAATCATTAGTTTTCTCCACTATACGTAGCGTAATTTATTTCATTAGAATTGAAACCTCAGAAGGCTAGTATGAATTCATGTTTTGGTTGATGCAGCGCTTATTTATCACGTTGCCGTACGCAAAGCATCGGACTAGTCGACAAACTATTTTTATGACGAAAATGAAGCAATTACATCTTGTGTGTCATATGAGCGAGACTCGCACATGCGTGGCCTGAATGGTCCAGGTGCGTTATTCCCTTGTCCAAGGAACGACTTCTCTATTCGCGTACGCTACTTCAACATCATTTTTTTTTCCTGTAAAGGTCGTGGCCATAACATAAAGAGTGATCATTTCGCCCAAATCAGTTATTGACTGCAAGCTCGTAGATTCGAGGCCGTTACCTCAAGCTCTATAAACATCTATGATAAAAACTGGGGCGGATTCACACAAACCTCCCAGGAGTGCAACAAGGGAGGGGAAGACTTATGGTACAGTGCATCTCCCATGCATCTTTCGACACAGCCGCTGCTTGTATTACTTCTATGTCGTACCCATTTCGAGTTCGTAAAGCGCATGCAAGGCAAAAACATGAGTACACAAATACAATAGTTGCAAAGGAGTTGAAGAAAAGGTCTTGTCGCACTGGATAAGGCTTTTGGATGCATGATTGGTCAATTCAAATAACTATGTCGGCTAACATATCTTCAAGCAACGAGTCTTAGTGTTGTGTATATGCTATGCAAACTCTAAAGAAGCCCTCTACGCGAGCAGTGGACACCAGAGGGTGCGGCAGAAATGCGTTCTATCTCTAGTGTTTCACGCTACTACAGCACTGTCGCCTTCCATGCTGAGCACGCATTTTTGTGTCCGTCCTCATCCTCACTCAGTCCGCCTCCCCCCTCGTCATGCTGCCTCGCACCTTCAGGCTAGCATAGTGGCTGTTATTCCACATCTCCTGCCCTCGTGCGAGGCCATCTAGAATATTCAGGTGTTAGTGGTGTCGCCTTGGGCACCCCTTCTTGGTACATGGTAAAACGCATTCCTCGCTCACTATTGACGGGGGACTAGCTGGAGGAGAAAGGCGCGTCGCGTTCGCACATTGTTCACTGATAGGCGCGTGGCTAATTTACTTATACGTACGTGGCTTTGGAAGTCTTCCTAGTTAGGAAGCACATGACGGCAGACAACGGCTGTGTGTGAGAGAGGGTCGGGAGAGGAGGCAGTTGTCGTTACTTAGGTAAAAGAGAAAAATTTAGTGGACTTTAGTCCCGAGAAGCTCTTGCTTTCTGTCCTCGCAGCCGTCTTGTAGTGTGCGAGAAGTGCACACAAGGCCAACACGACGAGTGGTCGGCGTTCCTTTGTCGTGAAAAGTACTCTGGGTCGACTTACCCCTCGAAATCCTGACCTGCCTGGCGCATTTGTGCGATACATCTTTCTAGCGCATTACCCCCGTTTACATGGTCGTGATGCGCCAGTTGTCGCATTCGTATAAACGCTGTGCGTGCCGTGCCGGCTTACGGCAAACTGCCGACGCCCGGCTATACGCAAACGTGCTTTCTTATCGAGGAAAGACGACCTGGACCCCGCTCCCAACAACCGTGGAGACGGCGTGCCGGCCTCTTGTTGAATGAAGTTAGTTAGTCGCCCCAGCTGGCAGCCGACTGACTGGCAGTTGCCTCGAGCTGTCAGGCTGTAATCAATTTTACACGAATGCCAGAGTAGCCCAAAAGAATTAAAAAAAAAACTCATTAGCTTAGTCGTGCCTCGAGCATGGGAAACAGAAATTCGCACAATTTTCTGCGTCATCAACCACTATATAAATAGGTACATATTAGCGCGAGCAAAATAACAATGACTTGAGAAAGGAGTGGCAGGAGGCAGGAATATCTCAGCTCCCGACATTTCTGCTTCGTCCCACTTCTTTCTTGAGTGTTTTTGTTCTCTTGAGCTGATATTAATTCCTTATAGCGAAAGAGGGACGCACGAAGTTCGCACAACGGGGGGCCACCATTCCCCTCATCGTGATTTACGGCCCGTGAATCGACCGGCACTCGCAAAACTGCCCATTTCATACGCATTAGTGCAATGCGCCTTCCATTGCTTACATGAATGCGAAGCGCATGTTTCGCACTCATGTAAACGTGTTTTATGCACACCGATGTACCACACTTTCTTATAAACTTATCTCTTTCAGAAACGTTTCTGTTCTTTTCGAGCTACTAGGCGTAAGTCCAAGATCGGCTATTTCTACTCGTCAGCCTTATGACTCACGCTAACGAGTCAAGGAGCTGCTATCTTGACGCATTGACAGTTCTCCGCACGGCAGACTTCCCAATGACGAATTGTCAGCAGGTGCCGCATGCCCTTGACATTTTTCTCTATCCTTTTTCTCCCCTTCTTCCTCCCCGTGTAGGGTAGCATATAAGCCTTTCCTTTGCCTTTCTCTCTCTCTCTCTCCTTCAGGCGAAAGCGTCGGCAGGGTGCCTTGTCGCATGGTGTTGTACACTGGCACTGAAGAAAATCAACAAGTTCCCTAGTCGATGTTGCAATCCTTAGATTGAGTGGCATATAAACCCTCAGTGCATAGGAAATATAGATGGGCTCCACCACTGCCGCTCCCCCACCAGACCTGCTCAGTGGTAGCATAGTCAAAAGTTATCCGCCTTTCTGCCTCCCTGAAGAACCGACCTCACTTGTCGCGGGTGCTTCAAAGCAGAAAAAAAAGAGCCCTGGTGCCTCATTGCTGTCCCCGCACCGAAGTACTTTCTTACACCACGCCGTGCATTCAGCAAATTTCATGCCACTTCGCTTCGTTGTTACTGGCTGAAAAATCTGCAAGATTTTCAGGCAGTAGCATGATTTTAGCCAGTTTATGCAGTGAGCAACGGAATAAATATTGCTCGGTTTTGTGGTTTATTGAAACCGATGACGGATATTCACAGCCGACTCCGAGAGAAGAGTTTGCAAGCGCCCGCGTCCCCTTAGAGCGAGTTTGCAGTGATTATGTGGAACGCCGTCATGGGGTACTCCAGAACGTTGGTGTTCGCGCATTTCGGCGCTATGGAAATGGGCGCTTGTCGTATATAAAGGCGGAAAGCGAACACGCGTCCTGAACTCCTGCCGCACCATAGTTTTCCCCAGAGTAAATAAATGAAATAAACACGCAGAAAGTACAAAACAGACTTCATCTCATTCCTGTAGGTGTGCCTCGTTTCGTGTTTGTGCTGTTTGTTCTGATGGGTTCATACCAACAAGCGCAGCACGTCTGAAGCTCCGTGTATTTCACGGTAAAAAAAAAACGATATTCACAAATACCTTACCCACGCACGTCTGCTTAGTTCGCTCGTATCGCTCGTTTGTCGTTCGTTTTTCTGCTTTCTTCTGACTGTCGTCGCACAGCCCTCACTTTTCGCGATAGTCAGTGGGGGGGTGAGGAGGGCGACAAATACGTGCACACATAAAAGAGGGACTTTCCGAGAATTCGACCTTTCTTTTCCCGTGAAGACGCTCACTCCTTCCTCTCGGAGGATACTGCCCACCTGTTTTCACGCTCTCCCGCGGTACCGCGCAGCCTTAAGAGACTCTGAGGGGAGGAAGGCTTACAGATGACGGTGCATGGTTTGAAGTTAGAAAAGACGTTTCCTCTGAGGCAAAATGTGTTCGCACGCCGCATTCGGGGAGACAGGGAACCTTCAAATCCAGCGCTTTCCTTATTTCTGTTTAGGTGGCGCTAGGGGAAGATTTTCTTTGTAGTGATAGGAATAATGTAGATTTCTCAATATTTTTGCAGTTCTTGTGTGTGATTCGTGTGCATAAGTATGCCAGGAGACCTTAACTGTTATATTTTAGGCTATGCATGCTTAGATTTCAGCGCTATTTCAAGATAACAACGATTTCGTTGATGTTTACAGCACGATAAATTAAGACAATTTGCGAGCTTTGTTTCGCATTTCTGCTTGCTTTATTGAAAAACGCTACGTTGAGGAAATAGATCAGGGGTTCTAGTTTATCCACGTGCAAATTCAGCTAACAAACTTCAGTAGTTCTCCCCAAAAATGGGCCACGGTAGGTCTATCTAATGAGAATATTGCCCAATTTAGATCAATATAATTAAAAAACGAGCGGGCGTACATAAATAAAATTGAACACTCGAACGGAAAATGCCATCCTCTATATACACCCAGAAAATGAATTTTCTCTAGCGAATAGGTGCCGGATAGTCCGCATCGACATTTACTAAATTTGGCTCTTTTCAAAAGCTAATCAGCAATACAGTAAAAAGGCTAGAATAATTTGCTACGTTGAGGAAATAGATAAATATGTCTTAAATGTTCTGCGCAAAGAACAGTGCTGTAACTGCATCAGATTTTTCAGAAAATGGTCACTGCTGACACACAGTCAGACCAAACCATGTAACTAGCGCTTATTCTTGGCTCTCCCTACCCAAATGCTAAAAGCTTACTTATTTTTAATAGATATGTTTAAAATGTACAAAAATTAAGCTTTTCAATGACATATAAACCAACTATATAAGACAAGAAGAACAGCCGCCACGTCAGTTGGAAAAGTGACAAAAATGATGTGTTCGTGCCGCCGGAGTGAGACCGCCGCCTTAATAAAAGAATGGCAACACTAACACATGTGAACAGCAGGCCACACCAGAATGCTGTCCAACACGCTGCAAGCCACATACTCCTTGTAATGTGCCATACACCATATAAGAACACACACGAACAAGTTACAGCGATGTCTTTTAACATCAACAGTTGAAATGGCTGAAACTGCGCAAGACTGGCGCTGATTCACAGTTCTGGCTTCCTTTGATGGACTAGTGCCTGTTTTCTTATTCCTTATTCACTGGCTGTTAAAAGGCCAGTAATATCAACGTTGCTCATAGTAGTTTTCCCTTTAACAGTGAATGGTACTGTACAACCCACTATAGTGAAACCTCATTAATCCGAACTCAGTTATATCGAAATCCTGCTAAGTTCGAAATATTTCCGTGGTCCCGTATTTCGAAACTCAAGTTTGAGTGGATAATTTGAAGCGGCAGTCTGGTTAATTCAAAAAGCACAAGTCTGGTTAATTAAAAAACTTTGGGTGTTATGTGCCAATCCCAATTTTGCCGCAAATGCGCAGAAGCTATGGCTCTTGAGAACCACAGAGCAATGGAATGTAGCGACACTATTAAGTGGCAGCATGAAGCACACCTTTCCTGCTACTTCCAGCAAAAAAAAAAAAATGGTCTCATGGTCAAGCCAAATATGTGCCTGCGGAAAACAAGACGTACTTGACTGCCACACAGCAATGATGCACGGGCAGCATATTGCATGTTTCTCGCAACGTCAGCGCATTATGATTTACCCATTCCTTCTGCGATTGTAAAAAAGTTTAATAAAAGGCAGTTTGGTAGAATTCGCAGTGTTTGCGAACCTTCAATTGCTGGTCGCTCCAGCAATTTTCGCACCTGCACTGCAGGTGAAGCTCTTTCCTGCAATGCCTATCTTGAAAACTAAGTTTGAAAGCCTCAAGGATCATGATTTTCCAGCCAAAACATATCACGGATTTCGTCACACTGGCCATCACTAAATTCTTTATTTTACAAGTAAGAATGCGCGAAGGGTCACATCATGATATCTGATGCAGTGAGGACCAAGCGACAAGCTGCCCGCGTTTCACCACTGAGTTGCAGTGAAGCAGGCTTTGTTTTCCGCAGGCTCGCATTTCAGTTGATCATGACAGCGTCTTCATTTTTTAAAGATGATAGTCTTTCTTGAAGACCTTCTATGCAAAAATTTTGGTCTGTTTGTCTGTACATTTGTGTGTTTGTCTGCTCTTAACGGTACCCTAAAAGGCACCCGACGATACCCCAAACAGCCGACCCTATCCGCAGCGCCCACCAATATTGCTCAAGATTCAGCATTCATACTTGTGTGATTGTCAATTAAAAAAGCAATTATTGCGCATATCTGAGGCACCATAACAAAACTTCAATATTAAGTATGTGCGTCTTTTACAAGAAAAGGCATACATAGGTAATTCTAAGAACCGTAGCATTTATCACGCTGCACTGAACATGCAACACTTGCACGAAAAGGCAAGTCTTTCCAGAGCTTTGCTAAGACGACACGGTAGTGGCACCTACTGGTAGCCTTGCATTCTACGCTTTATCACCTCCGATACGGTGCGCACGCCGTGCACTTCATTTTGAAAGATAACTTCCAGATAGCGCTCATGTCTCACGAGTGTCGTGACTTGACGCGCTCCTTCGCCTCCGCTGCACACTCAAGGCACTCTAACCGCAGCCCCTCCAGAATACCATTCACAGATTTTCTTGCGCAGAACATCAAATAAATGTTTTGTTCACTCTCTCCACAAGCAAGACTATCGTCTTTCGACGACATTTGCAGATTAACATGCAGATACAGGGCCTTTTTTTTTTCTTACGATGGCAGCAGTGAGGTTAGCCGATCCTCCGTGTTTGCAGCAAAATGAAGACCAGGTATTGCAGGAAAACATAACCCCTGAAGCCGCAAACTAGCCAATACAGCAATAAGTTAGCCCCGATTACTTTGAACAATTGCAAGTTCTTTGCATCCCCCTTTTTGTATGTTCTGTTAATTTGAAAACCCACTTACTTCGAAGATTTCTCACAGCCCCAATCACTCCATACTAACGAGTTTTTACTGTACACTCTAACCTCATTATTAACGAAGTTGAATCTTGCACCAAAATGAGTTTGTTATATCCAAAAATTTGTTATAAAGGTATATTTTTAACACTATATCTATTGTAAGACTAATCTTCATTTACTTTATTATAACAAATATTTCGTTATACCTTGGTTCGTTTTATCGAGCTTTGAGTGTAGTCCCTATTGCTGCTCCAATCAAAATAATTGCATCATGCCATTACGAATCTGGCTGTTAAAGGCAAGGCTGACTTTGATGTTTGAGAGTTTAAATTATGCCGATGTGAAAAACAGAAGCATAATGCCTCACTTATTTATAAATCGTCGCATTTCAGTCCATGAGTACAACATGCATGCCTGTATATGTGTATGCCCCTTCATGTGCATGCCCCTTCATTGTGAACATGCTTCCAGCACAGCCTTAGCTGCAGGCACATAATCAGGCCTCCCTGAATAACAAGATAAATAGGATGCGTCTTTTTAGATAGTTACCGCATGCCCTTGAAGGAGTTTGTAACGAGCTGAACCTCCGGTCCCCCATAAATGGTCAGCACAGTGGGATAGCGACGCTGGGGCTCCAAGTGTGCAGGCTTGAACACCAGGCCGTACACTAGGTGGCCTGATGAGATTGTATGACTGAAAAGCTCTGGTTCTTGGTATCCTCGAGCATTGGCACCATCCAGCAGAGGCATCACAACAGCTTCTGTCACATTAAAAGAAAAACATTTCAAACACATGTCCCAGCAAAACAGTTGGTTTGAATATATACGGCCAACAGACAACCCAAGCAAATCTAAGGGATGTTCTATGAGGTTTTTAACTGAGCTTGGTAATTATAATACCATAAAACAAAATTAAAGTAAATTCATAAAATTGCCATCGATGGAGACAAAACTAACAACTTAAGTAGAGATGAGAGTTGAAAAACAAAAGTTTTTTATTACATATCTTTTGTTTTTATTTACTTTCACAAGTTTAGTTTCTTTACTTTCACGATAAAAAAAAAACTAGATTCTAATTACACCCGAAGCAGATTAAGATCACTTTTAAAGAGCACAAGGTGGCTACTAAAAACTAAAGAGAGTTCATTGTCTAGTGTGCTCTGGAATTTGCCACGTGGCTGCTAGCTTTCGCATTATGCATAAGCCCTTCCCTAAAGCTACATGCTCGAAATAACAATGACTGCCAAGCTCTCATGATGGAAGAAATAATCTTAAAAACATATCATTTACGCATAGATGAACTTTCACTTACACCTTTAAAATGCACTTTTCTCAAGATCCATTTTTGGCAACTTCTTGAGTTTAGACATCATGTTTTGGTATTTCTGATAGCCTAATCGAGATCAAATTTTGCCCACATATAGTCACCGACCAATTTTCCGGACTCCAAAAATTCGGACTTGTTGGATATTCCGGACTTCATAAATGCACTGTCAGAGATCCCATAGAGCTAATGCATTGTTTCGACCGATTTTTCGGGCGAATTTGCCCCTGAAAGTTCGATTTTTCGGACTAAATCGCTCGTTTTGTGCCACGCCCCAAGCCATTCTGAACGCCGCCATGTTGGATTTTCCGTCGGCTTGGCTAAGCTTGGTTGTCAGATGCCTTTCCTGCCTCCGAGATTGAAATGCGCACGCCATATTTTAAGTTTCGGAGGCCGTGTTTGCTTTTTAAAAGACGCGGTGATGGATGCCGTTTTTTCGTCTTCGGTCAGCACTATCGTCATCACATCGCATGGGGAGGAGGCGACAGAAGGATTCTTTTATTGTCGTTGCAGCTTTTTTCAGTCGCCATTCTGCACGTGTTGTGTCGCGTAGCGTCGAGACGTTGTGTGCTTCGCAGCGGCTATCTGCGGCATCGAATTTTGTGTTCTCGGTGCCATGGCTCCGCCATCTGTGCCATCGCGGGAGCCAAGTGGTGTGAAGAAGCGTGGGAAGTATACGACCCTGACGATGGAGAAGAAAGCTGCCATAATCAAGCTAATAGAGAGTGGACGTTCGCAGCTAGATGTCGCCAAAGAATACCACCTCTCCAAGCAAACGGTATCCGACTATGTCAAAAATTGCATTAAGATTTTGACAGCGTTCGAGAATTCACACAACAAGAGCCAAAAGAACGACAGTAAGGGCGTTCATCCAGCCCTTGAAGAGGCTCTGCAGTTGTGGCTTAAAGGAGTTTTGGCAAAGAACCTGCCCGTGTTGGGAGATTTGTTAAAAGAAAAGGCCGAGTCGTTCGCTGTCAAAATGGGCATTGAGGATTTCAAATTTACGGACGGATGGCTTCGTGGCTTCAAGAAGAGGCACGGAATTTTGTTCAAAAAAGTTAGCGGTGAAAGTGGAGCGGTGGAGCAGACTATTGTGTCCGATTACCGTGCCACGAAGTTGCAAGCCTTGCTTAAAGAATACGCTCCTTCGGACATATTCAACTGTGACGAGACGGGACTTTTCTTTAAGATGCTGCCGGATCGTACCCTATCATTTTCGGGGGATTCATGCGCCGGTGGGAAGCTCAGCAAGGAGCGCATAACAGTCATAGTAGGTGCCAACGCCACCGGTACGGAGAAACTGCCTCTTCTTGTTATTGGGAAGGCGAGAAACCCGAGGTGTTTTAAGGCTGTGAGAACCCTCCCTGTTGAATACGAGAGTAATTCCAAGGCATGGATCACTCAGTCCTTGTTTGAACATTACGTACGCAAACTTGACCGCAAGTTTGCGCGACAGAGCAGAAAGGTAATCTTTTTTGTGGACAACTGTGGTGCGCACGGTAGCGTGCCGAACCTTGAGGCCATTCGGCTGGAATTTTTGCCGCCTAATACCACAAGCGTGCTCCAGCCAATGGATCAAGGCGTGATCCGAAACATCAAGGCACACTACCGTGCCCGCCTGCTCAGCCGCACCGTCTTGTGCCTTGACAATGGAAAGGCCTACAAGGTCGACATTCTGGCCGCCATCCACATGTTAGCCGAAGCTTGGAAGGCGGTGAAGCCAGATAACATCGCGCATTGCTTTAGGCATGCCGGGTTCGCTGCTGCTGAAGAGCCCGAGGCAAATGACCCGGACGTAAGCGACCCGGACGGCACCGATGGCGGGGAGGACCTAATGCGCGACCTGCGCAGCTTAGGATTGAATCTACCTGCCACAATGACATTTAAAGACTTCACTCGTGCGGACGACGACATTGTTTCGTGCGCGGAGGCCACTGACGACGAAATTCTTCGCCAGGTTGTCCCGGAGCCGGAGAGCGGCTCGGATGACGACAACGACGACCGCCCGCAGCCGTCGGCGGCGGAGATCGCCAACGCGGTGACAATTTTGTTGAGCGTTTACGGCGACGATGTCACCTTGGCGCGAATACGGGCAAACCAAATTGCCTCCAAGCGTAGTTTGAGGCAAGGCAGCATCAAGGACTTTTTTAAACCTGCCTGATGCAATAAACTTCAGATTTTTGGCGAAAACGAATTTTTCGGACTGTTCGATTTTTCATACTTTTTTTCGGTCCCCGCCAGGTCCGAAAAATCGGTCGGCGACTGTATTCAATAACATGTGAAGGGCGCCAGTATTTTCTTTAAAACTTTATATTGCCTGCATAATTTTTGCAAACGTAAAGTGAATAATTAATGAGGGCTGAGGATTCTAGGCATTCTTACATAATAGTTTTTCTTGTCTGTTAAAATGTTTTATACGCACTTTCTTACAGTCAATGTAGAGCAATATGAGCCATCAGTAACTGAGAACCATAAATGTTCAGCGGTATAAAAAACAAATTATACCTTACATATTGTCATGGCATAAAATTCAAACTCTGCAACTTACCGTAAAACTAATTACTTATTTGAAATTAGCAGAAAAGCCCATATATACAACAAAAGTTTTATTGCTCTACACTACAGATTAATGAAACCCTTTTTTCTTTTTTTTCAGATTGCATCTACCCTTAAAGAAATCACATTATCGCATGGTAAAAATTAAACAAGTAAAGATTATGCTGATATGTGATACCGTAAGAATTATCCACAGAGAGAGAACTAGGCAACTGTCAGGCATTTGCAGAGATCAAAACAAAGAGCTCCATCTGTCCTCACGGATCTGAATGTGAATCCACTTTCATAATAGAACACAAGCAGCTTATGAAAAACATCGTTATATATCAGTAGTAGGACCGTTCCATAAAGAAAGAGGAAACAGATGATACACCCACTGCTTCCTCGTTTTGAGCTTTGTCTTCCTCTTCCTTTTCAACCTTGTGCTCACATTGTGCGCACGCATGCCCTGGTACTGCAATTAGCCATAACAATGCATCACCCTTACGACCTGCATTTCCCCTTTAGAGTGCTATCACCTCCTGTAAAGACATTTGCACCTTGTGGCACACACGTGTATTGCGGATAAGCCACATTTAGGTTTAACAGCCGCTGAGCAGTAGGTGGCGCAGCGTTCGCCCGCGACTTTCATGACCATCATTACGGTTAGCGTGCTATCGCCAGAAGTGACACTTGGTGGGGCAGTTGGGTTGAGTATGAGGGACTTTCTTGTACTGTGTGGCGGCTGGCGCGATCGGTTGCCTCCTGCGGTTGGTCCATGGGGACGGCGCTGTAGGTTGTTTCCCGTGGGCACCTCATAGTGAGCAGAGAGTTGGCACCGTCACCTTTGCATTACCTTGCGTTTGTTCTTATGTTTGATTGAGTGTGTTGCAATATTGGGTAAGGGTATTTAGCGTGCTGATCACTAGTGATGTATTTGATTCGGCTGACAATATCGATGATGTAGAGGTAATTGAACAAATGTAGACAATGTTTTGATATGGTGCCACCGTGTCTACTGTGTCCGTTCACTCTGAGAGCGGGCTCTCATTTCGAGATCTCTTACACTCACCTACAGGCTGTTTCTCTGTATTTATGTGTTGTCATTACAGCCATCATATTTTTTAATTGCTTGCCCTTCATAACATTTCGCAGTACAGAAACAGAATGGCAAATCCCTACTTTCAAGGACTCTTTCAAGGACTCTTTCAAGGAAAGACTGTAGCTTGAAGAGATGAAAGACCCGTGAACACAAGGTGTGATAGAGCTCCAGCAACACCCAATGTTCACAAATTTTTCGTCAAATCCCTACTGTCGTGTTTGATTCCGTTTGTGATGGGCCCACGATTTCTTAGCTGCATAATCTCGGAAACTGCTCACTTGTTGGCTCCATCAAGACAGCGACAAGGTGTGGTGATGGTGGACATGATGGTTCCTCCGACTGGCTCAGCCTGTACACAGCACTCCAGGGTGGTTCACTCAGGCTGCTCTTGACTGTAACAAACATGCTGCACCCCTGCGTAAGGCCCTTTCAATTACAATGCATTCTTCTTGGTTTAAGAAAGTGAAGCTTTCTTGGTGAAACAAACATGCCAATATCTGCATGCACAAGGTTAAGGTAAAATTATGATGAAATTTCAGTGAATATATTCAAGGAGTCACCAGCTAAAATATATATAGCGTTACATAAAGTTGCATTTGCTTAAACATCTACCGTGTCATTGTCATGAAGACGACAGCGGTCTCTATAGTGAAGCTCAAGCTCTCTGTTGCTTCGCCAAAAAAAAAAAAAAAAACAGATCTGGATTCTAGCATCTCTGGACAAAATTTACTTGTAAAGTTGTACACTACAATGCTACAGTGTAGACAAGTTATAACGTGACCTCTCAGAGTGCAGAACCGGTTACAATGCAGTCTTTTTCAACTCCCGTTCACCCTCTCATGGAACCCCACGTATGTGCATACTGCTTATTGTGCTGTCCCCCAAGATGAAAAACTGGTTACAATGTGATTGTCGGAAAACCTTTGTGGCAATCCCGGTAGCAAGTGTGCAGCTGAAAGGAGGTGCGCTGGGTGCGCCGTTAAGGAGCGAGCGACGAGGTTGTTAGGAGGAGGGGTCGCGGAGTGAGCGAATGAAGGGCGCAGGGAAGAAAAAGAAAAAGGACCACGGCACACTGCGCGGGCTCGCGAAGGGCGGTTGTCTTGGTGACGGATAACCCATTGCACCAATGCAGATTAGCATCGCTAGCATGGCTCTCGCCGCGCACGGCTCAACATGGCACGTGCAATCCCGTCCTTACCAACTGTGCTTAACAGTTTCTTGTCGAGAAAAGTGTAGTCGTCATCGTGCTTGCTACTGATATCACATTTTCTACCTTGTTCGTAAATTTAAAACTTTTTACGGCTTTGTGACGCAAGCCTTCGCCTTTTTCAGTTTCAGTTTATTGCGAGTATTTCGGTGGAGGGTTACATGTAGCGAGAGGTATACAAAAAAAAGGACCCTAAGCGTAAACGCTGCAATAGGGCCTCTTGTTACAAAACACAACAAAATAAGCGTCAGTATGTGTACAAAATAATAGGAGTGACATTGTGGTATGCAATAACATTTGCTGCCAGTGCGCTGTCTTACGTAAGCTTGGCGGGTTTTCATCGTTGTTGATTTCACGGCCATGTGAACTTCGCATCATGCACGCTGTTTGTTCTTGGTTCAATGCTTGAGTGCGGTCTTCTCGACACCGGATCGTCATGTTTTGGACGAACTACCCGCGACAACATACATTTGGTACGCAATCAACGAAACTCTTTGCGGCGGCTGCTCTTGACAAGAGTATATAAAATCATTAATGAAAACGAGCGTGGCACATGTAGCACCCAAACAGTGGTTCGCGATTCCATTGCGACGTCTTAAAATCGAATGCGAGCCCGTGGAATTGAACGATTGATTTCTTTCAGAGTGTGAAATTCTGGACGTGATTCTAGATTCAGTGTAATGCGCATAATCAAGGCAGTCTGAAAAGCAGTCAGCGTATTTCCGCGATGGTGCTTGTTCTTGTTAGACCCCTCCCCTCCCCCACCCTGTTCATTTCGTTGGCAACACGTGTTTTTAGATGCTAATTTCTTTTTTTAACATTTGAAAATTCAAAATGTTGTAAGCACTGTGCACCACATACATCATTTACCGCACACGTGAGGCTTTGCTCAATACGTTTTGCGCAATTGCATCCTTTGAAAAAGGTCGCTTTGGTTATGGTGTGGTACCACTTACACTAGTGCGGATATTCGCGACTCCCACTACTTCTGTTATAAGTGGTCTGTACTGTCTCTAGAAATGAATAGAATGCTAGAATTTCTTTTGAACAGATGATGACTAATTAAATACTATCAAAAATTTGTTAAAAAGCGCTCTTGTGGAAGTAAGCTATTACAAAATTTGCTTTTTGTATGCTATTACACTAATGTTTTCTAGATTATAGCTACTAATTTCTAAAATGAAAAAAAAAAATGCTGAAACTAACACAACTTAGCTCCAACCTTCAATACTTCTTTCCAAATTTAACAGCCCACCAGTGAGAGAGTTCATTATCTTTTAGCTGCATATTCTAAAGCAAATGTTGGAACTTTTTAATAACAAATTACTGAAGTATTTAGCTAGCACACACATTGCTTCAGAAGAAATTAAATCCTTAAAACCAATAAGACACTGCTCACCATCCTCAGGACACCCTGATTCTCTAAAAAAAAGCTTCTTGGATATCTCGAACATCCAGTGCACACAACAGCACCAACGGGCATGTTCATGTATGTAATCAAGTGAAAAGCAACCAACATGCATGTTACTTCCTCAAAGTTTTCTGAGCTCTTTGCAAGCAATTTCAACTCAGATACACAAGCTTCTATGTACCAGCTGTAAAAAAAATTCCCTCTTTGACTCTCCTTACCCCACCGTCCATCCATGACCGATCCATAGTTGTTATTTTTGTTTTTATCACCTCACCGAGAAGGTAACATGAGGAGAATAAAGGGACGTCATTGAAACGTTCTTTAAGCATTAGCGTTATATAAAATAGAATGCTTGAATGACATGCATGCATTAAGGACCACAATTTTTTGCAAATGTCGAGATCGAAGTTTTTAGATGAACCACCATGAACAACCGAATAAATGTTGAAGCTTCAAGGTTTTAAAATTTTCAGTAAGCAACCATACCAGCATTGCATAGACACAACTGCACCAAGCAAACGGACAATACAGTCAAGAGGAACACACACGAATTACTGTGACTTTATCACACCTGTACAAATGACAAGTACTAGATGGTTACAAGGCACACAAATACTAAATTGTATAACCCCACATTTAATCAAAAGTAGGCCAAACAACAAGTACTCTTGTATACTGATCGTGTTAAGAAATAAAGAATAATCGTTTCGGGCATAGGCAGTTGATAAATTTTTATAGGAAAGAGAAACATTTGACAGGACACTCTTTTGTTTAACTAAACTCAAATAATAAATGCTGTCAATGCAATTCACAAAATACATTATTTATTTTTAGCTTTTCCAATGCGATTTTTAAAAATTGGAGAGACGCCATCCCATATGCCTGAAAATCATCCTGCTAGAGTTTCAGGCATAATATCCTACCTGATCAACAAAGACACCGTGGGAGTAACCTGGCTCTGTCAGCCTCGACACAGGTAGTTGTCCATCAAGGCCCACCACATACCTGCAGCATTACAACACAGTGCCTCTTAAACACTCTCTCCAGGTGGAACCATCAAAAAAACGCCTGCTGCAAAGGCTACAGTTTCCCCAATCACGAGCATTCAAGCTTACTGCCCTCAAGAAACCTTAAAAAAGTGTACACCTCGCAAGAATTTTCTGTGGAATCTCAGCCAGTGCTACCGAATCGAAGCACACATTATAGTGCTGCAAGTAGCTCATCAATGCCAACTGTTGTAGAGAATTTAGAATAAAAAAATAATAAATACCGCATTTACTCGCATAATGAACGCACTTTAGTCTCGAAATATCTGACCAATGTTGGGGGCGCGTTTATTATGTGGGGCAAATTTTATGAAAACTTTTTTGGTATGATCGAAAATTGAGGTAATGAAAAACATTGAAAAAAAGTTAGGTCGCTTAGCCTTCCGCATACGCGTACACTGTTTGGAAACAGCTTCTTCGTTGCACTTCCCTCATCTTTGGTGGTTCAGGGCGCTATCTTCTGCAGCCTGTCCCTGCACCACCCGCACCCTTCATAAAAGCGTTTCGCGGCTTTTCTCGGAATCGTTTAACGGTAACAGTGATATCGTTGAGTTTAACGGTAACAGTGGTAACGGAACAGTGAAATCGAGGGAGCGCCCAGAAGCATGCACTACGACGCTACAACGCACTTTGCCAACTTCGTGGCAACCTCGAACGACGACCGCGATGCCACCACTGATATTGCAGCAAGCTACCACCAAAAAATCAAAACAAACCATTCATAACAAGATTAACAACAAAATGCAGCCTCTGTCTCACTGTCCACATGAGGTTCAATAGATTGATTGATATGTGGGGTTTAACGTCCCAAAATCACCATATGATTATGAGAGACCATGTAGTGGAGGGCTCCGGAAATTTCGACCACCTGGTGTTCTTTAACGTGCACCCAAATTTGAGCACACAGGCTTACAGCATTTTCGTCTCCATCGAAAATGCAGCCGCCACAGCTGGGATTCGATCCCGCGACCTGCATGTCAGCAGCCGAGTACCTTAGCCACTAGACCACCACGGCACTGTCCACATGAGAAGTTAACGTAGAAAAGGTAGCCTATATCTTGCATTCCTTGAAGTTTTTCTCTGTTAAGGGGGGACATGGGTCTTTAAATTTTTTTTTCTGTTTTTGGCTCAATCTTGACCAAACCTCACCATCTTGGACAGTTTTTCATGCTGATTTCAAATATGTAATTGTTTCTGAAATAGCTTCAGTGGATAAAACGATATTAACATCTGTAATTTAATTAATTATGCACTTCATTGGGGGCTTTTTGGCAACTTAATCAAGCCAGATCCAAAAAATAAATGCATAGCCCCAATGCTGAGGGCTTTCTGTATGGGGTGATGCTATATTTATTAATTTTTGGCATTATATAGATAAGAAAACAGACCAGCACTTGCAATGGATATTCTGTTCAATTTTCGCTCATTACTATCCATAATTGTAATTAACAGTATGCTTCTAGAGTAATCAAAATAGCCTCACCCCATAGGTAATGTTATTACAAATAAAATGATACCAAGTTTGTCATTCTCAATCAACAGTAACATATAAGAAAAACCCCTAAGGTTTAGTGTGGTGCACAAAAACATCGAACTGAGAAAAACGCATTTAAAGTTTCTAATAACTGTAACTTTTGCTAAAGTGAAGCTAGAGCAATAAAAACGGCACCGTTGTATAGCTCTACATTATGTGAGTATGGCTGTACCAAATGTGTCAATGCACCTTCCCAAAATATTTGCCACAGCTCACTTAAAAACTGTGTACTGGCCGTTGAATCAGTATAAGGAACCCAGTCTACAACTTTGTGGCTGTTCTAGTGCACTGAAAACCAAAGGAAGACACATGTTATATATAAAAACATCGCCCTTTTATACATAAAACACTATTTCAAGTAAAACACACATTTTTGTCCCAGACATCCTCCATCAATGCGCTGCCTCGGCCATCTCCGGCGTTCTCGGCGGCGCGCAGGCCGCTCCCTTCTGCCGCGCATTCCACGCTCGCTTTCGTTTCCTGCCGAAAGCTTGACGAGTGTTCTTCTTCAGGCGAGCTTCCCAAGCCATGCCGACGAAATGCAGAAAGACGTATACGTCGGCGACGTCGGTACACGAGCGGGTAGCAGACGAGATAACACGCACGAGAGCAAGCGCCGATGGAGCAAAACCAAAAAAAAAAAAAAAGAGCGAGCAACCGTGGCCGCGCCGCCGCGCCAGCCAATGGTAAGCGCGAGACTGGGGGGCTCGCCGGTGCGCACGCGCTCTAGCCAATCAGCGGTCCGGCAGACGGCTTCGCAAAATGGGGGAATGCATGACGATAGTTATAGCGCGAGAACAAAACGACGACACAGAGACAAGAAGGACACGAAAGACACGAGCGCTACCACTCACGAGACACGAGCGCTACCCAAGCTGCCACACTTCTAAGGGGGAATGCAGTCGTCGTGTTGGAGCTACGCCATTTTGAGAGCCCGCAAAACGCGCACAAAGGAACCAGCTTCAAAACAAGCCCAAGATGGCGCCGATCCGCCGGCTGCTTCGCTGGCGGCGCGCGCGGGAAGTTTGAACAAATTTTCTGTTTTGCGGGTTGTTTTGCGACTCTTGTGATGGTTTGAAAATAGATTTTAACCTATTTTTTTATCGAATTTAGCGTTAATAATTTGAGGAGAGGTGCTTATAGGTTCAAAGATTCGAAAAATGCATTTTTTTTTCAAAATCGATTTTTTGGCCATTTTTTACTTTCCTAAGACCAGCGTCCCCCCTTAAATAAAATGGCAGTGCTGCAAAGCCCAGATGGTTAAAATCTCTTGTATGTATTTTTTTCTCATTTAAACCTGCATGAGAAAATTAGCAACTGCCACTGAAGAGCCGGTAGGTAGTAGTGATTTTTCTGAAAAGTGGTCATTTTTCCTGGCGATTAGCACAACTTTACTCATCTCGAAAGTCCGTTTATCTCAAAATTTTCCCTGGTTTTTCAACTTCGAGTTAACGAGATATTACTGAACTGTATGGCAGAAGCACAAAATCGCACCACAAGTCACACCATATGACGTGTGTTACAAGTGGATGTTCTACAGCTGCCTACCCATTACAAAGGGCTTTACCACAATTGATCGTCAACAGCCACAGCACCCACAAAGTGTGCAGCTACGCAGGTTCAGATTGCCTTACAGATGCACAGCAGCTACCTTGCAACACACATTCGACATCAGAAAACACAGCTGACAGTATTGTAGTACACATGTGCACATTAAAAAATTACATCCTGTGCTTTTTACTTGCACTAGGCACCCTAAGAGAGTTCACAACAGGCTCTTAGAAAGTGGCTCCAGATGGTGAGGTGATTGTGCTGTGTGGTCGATGCAGGCCTGGAGCTGTTTCTGATCATCAATATAGGAGCGTGCCATCGCTCTCTTTACAAAAAATATGGTAAGATTACATTCACGCGCAATTATATTTGAAACTTCCAAAACTTGGGTGCACTTCATTTTCGAAGCACATGAACATTTGAGTAAACATGTTATGTTACTAGCTGTGACCACAGTTGTAAATAACTGTGGCCACAACTTTTATTACAGACAAATCCTGGTTACTTGTTAAACTGCATTTCTAACATTACCCTTTCTTCCATCCCAGATGCACAATGAAGAGGGCAGGCACAGATGTGACAAAGCGAAGTGAACTCACAAGTGCCTTTCCAAAGGCGTGTCCTTGAGTCCCACAAAGTAGACTAGCCGTCTGCTCTCATCCACCCATATCTGCAGAGAAAGCATGTTTATGTCACAACACATACTGCAATTGCACTGTAGACTACCACCCTTCTGTGTACTGCGTTACGGAGTTAATGCTGTTATGGTCACAGACAGCTTTTCTTCACAGTGAAGAGAAAGGTATGGAGGCAATGCTTAGACACACACATACACACCTACACTATGTATTTTGGTCGAATTTGGCATATCTTTTTCAATGTTACTTTGAATTTCTCAACTTCGCATAGCTTCTTTGAATACAGTAGAATCTTGTTCGGAGAATTAAAGCTGATATAAATTCAGCCTGATGGCATATCTTTCAATGTTACTTTCAATTTCTCAACTTCGCATAGCTTCTTTGAATACAGTAGAATCTCGTTGAGAGAATCCAAGCCGATATAAATTCAGCCTGATATGAATTTTTAGAATTGCCCAGCCTGATTCCGTTGCATCTAATGGGGCAAAATTTTGCTGTTTCAAACACTTTTAAGCATCATGACAAGAGATACCAACTTGGGTACTGCAACCGTTAAGCCCCGACCGGAAAAAGCGAGCTCTGAAAGCTTTGAAAGCAAGCACATGGTCAGTGCGCAAGCAGTCAGGAACTGCGGTTATCATTTTCCGAAACCACTACCAACGATGTCACGGTCACTATCAAAGTGATCATGTACAATAACAATAAAACTTCAAAAGTACACATGGATCCAATGCTCACCTAGTTTATGTGAAGCTGCCTGCCACAACGGTTATAGACAAAGCCATGGTAAGTGGGATCATAGATAGCAACGACTTAGTTCTGAAAGCATATGCATTGCCGGCGCACACAGAATTAATAAAAACGAAATTACTGTTTGCCGCAACCACCGTGCACGAAACAACGGTCACTATCAGCACAATCATCAATAACGACTACACAGCTTCAAAGGTACATAGTAGTTAATGCAGACACAGATTGAAGACAATAAAGTTGTAAAAAGCTATGAAGCACATCGGCATCCCCAGTCGTTTTCCCAAAACTATCGTGGAGCGGGCTTCAGCACACTTAGTTTCCAGGTGGACTCAAGCGAAGCTTTGATGTGCACATTCATGGCAGACAGCTGTGTTGGCATCCAAGAAATACATTTGCAAGTTGTTATGAAAGCAATAAATGTTTTGTGCATATGTTCAAAACCAGATTTTGCTAAATTTTCGATAATAAGAAATTTCTGGTGATAAGAATATTACCCCCCTCTCCTTCAGATTTATATCGCCCAGATTCAACTATACGTATATGAAGATTGGCAGAATTATTTTAGCATAGATTTCAAATTTTAACTGATAACTCTAGGCTATTGCTTTGTCACAAGCACAAGAAATTATTCTTGCCAGGCATGTACATTAAGGTGTAAAAATGCTTATTTCACAGTCATATTCACAATTATTGAGGTGCACGTCACACTTTTCTATTTTGTTTGTTCCAGTGACACTACGTCAGCTTCATCAGAAGCACATCTGATTTACTCACACTATTTCTACTAGTACAAAAAAAGTTCATTAGCAGGGACCCCACAAATTTGAAACTTGGATATTTAGGACAGAGCAGAGGCTGTGGCACTAAAATAAATGGCACTCACATCTTTCTCAGACACCTCCCACTCCCCAGAGGTAAGCTGGGTCTTCGACACCAGGCGATCAGAACCTGGAAAGAATACCAATATACAGTTAAACCTAGACATAACGAAATTGTGAAATTCCAGGAAAAATTTGTTATAAAGAGGATTTTGTTATATGTAAGTTCAGTACGGAAGCTCGAAAAATAATCACACAAATTAAACAAAAGGGAAACTGAAGGCAGAGAGAACCCAAAACATTTATTTAGCGACAAAAACTGTATTACTATTACGACAGCAATTATATGGACACTCGGCAGGTTTCTGCCATCGCCGCCATGTTCTGTAACAAGTCTAAATTAATAACATTCCCCCGTACACCGTAACTTTTACGAGCTGGTAAAAGCATTCGGGGGCTGCTGAAGCAGAGATCAAATGAGCTTGCCCATCTATATCACCTGGAGGGTGCATACAATAACCCACCCCTACCCCACCGCGTGTAAGAACTGTCGTCGAGTGCTTAAACATAAAGGAAACCACCCGTCTTGATCAAGTATGATGATAAAACGCGGGTGGGGGAAGAAGAGGGGCTCTCGCTTGAGTAGGAACAGTGAACTTTGATCAAGAAGAGCGTGGTCGCGATCGCTGGCGCGTGCGCACACTATCTCAGCAAGCATCAGTGCGCTTTCAATGCGAAGTGACTGTGTGAAAAGTCTCCAGCGCCACTGTCTTCAGCGCCACTGCAGAAGATCACGAACTTCACCTGCGTCAGGTTTTCACACGACTCCACAAATGTGGACTAGCCTTCAACGGCCCAAAAAGCGCACGATCTCAGCAAGCATCAGTGCGCTTTCAATGCGAAGTGACTGTGTGAAAAGTCTCCAGCGCCACTGTCTTCAGCGCCACTGCAGAAGATCACGAACTTCACCTGCGTCAGGTTTTCACACGACTCCACAAATGTGGACTAGCCTTCAACGGCCCAAAAAGCGAGTTCGGGGTTTCCTCACTGAACTTTCTTGGCCATCACGTGGATTCGCGTGGGATCTCTCCACCGGCCGCGCATGTTGAAGCTATATTGCAGTTTCCATGACCAACAAATACGACAAAACTACGTGAATTCCTCGGGCTTGCCAACTATTACTGGCGGTTTATTCCTCACTGCGCTGCCATCTTGCAACCACTCCATGCACTTCTATCTGGTCAAACGAAGCCCAACGCTTCCATCTCCTGGACGGGCGATGCAGAAACAGCTTTCAATTCCATCAAAGAAGCTCTGGCTATGCAACGCTCCTCGCGCATCCAAAGAGCGACGCCACCACGTCACTCACAGTGGACGCCTCAGACATCGCCACAGGAGTAGTCTTGCAGCAGTTGGTTGACAGAGTTTGGCAGCCGGTCGCTTTCTTCTCACGGAAGCTCTCACAGACCGAGCATCGTTATAGCACAATCGGTCGCGAACTGCTCGCAGCTTATTTGGCTGTCAAGCACTTCCGACACTTCCTAGAAGGTCGGCAGTTCCATATCCTCACTGATCACAAGCCGCTTATGTGTCAATCGACCGCTACCAACTCTGCCCACACCCAACGTGAGATCTGCCAGCTTGCCTACATATCGGAGTTCACGAGTGACATCTGGCACATCAGTGGCAAAGACAACCCCATTGCTGACGCACTTTCCCGATTAGAAATCAACGCAACTATAGATAAGCACCCGCCAGTCGATTTTGCAGCTATGGCTACTGCACAACAGGACGGCAGCGAACTTCAGGTGTTGCGACTCCAAGAAAATTTCCTCAAGTTTGAAGATGTCCAACTTCCAGAATGCTAGATTTCCCTCGTTTACGACATCTCTACCGGTTGTCCTCACCCTTACGTTCCAGCACTATTTCGCCGCGGAGTCTTCAACACCTTGCATTCCTTGTCGCACCCCGGTATACGTGCGACTCAGTGCCTCATCACAGGGCGATATCTATGGCCTAGAATGAACATCGACATCCGCCGCTGGACACGTGCTTGTCTCAAGTGCCAGCTAACCAAAGTCCAGCGCAACACGGTCAGCCCACTGGGTACCTTCACGCCTCCTGACTCGCGGTTTAGTCACATGAACCTGAACCTCGTAGGCCCTTTGCCCCCATCGCAAAACAGCCGGTATATGCTAACTTGCGTAGACCGGTTCACGCTGTGGCCTGAGCCACTACTCCTCACCGACATCACGGCCGAGTCAGTCGCCCACGGACTCATCACCGTGTGGATAAGCTGCTACAGAGTTCTGAAGACCATCACAATGGATCGTGGTCGTCAATTCGACTCCGCACTCTTCCGCAACTTGTCCCGAATGCTTGGTATCAACCACATCAAGACGACGGCCTACCACCCGATGACGCATGGCATGGTTGAGTGATTTCAACGCCAACTCAAAGCTTTGCTCATGGCCCCCCAATCATTGATACCCAGGACGGAGCGTCTACCACTCGCCCTCCTCGCCCTGCGCAGCACGATACGTACCTGCTTTTCAGCTGAGCTCATATTTGGCACTACCATAAGGCTTCCTGGACAGTTTTTTAACACGCCACCGGTATCACCATTGGACGTAGCTGATTACGCCAGTCGTCTCAGTAATGCCATGAGAGATATGTCATTTATTCCTGCACGTCAACACTCACGCCCAAGTTTCGTCAGTCATGCGCTTCGCAACTGCACCCACGTCTTCGTACGACATGACGCAATCAGCCCACCACTGCAACCTCCTTACGACGAACCCTTTAAGGTCATTAAGCGTTGACCAAAGCATTTCCTTCTGCTGCTTAATAGACGTGAAGACAGTGTCTCCATTGACCGCATAAAGCCCGCTTTCCTCGACACTGACGCCGTCCTCTAAGACTACAAGCCATCCGCAAGAACCAGACGAACGCGCTTCACAATAGTAGAACCTACAACCTGCTCACAGGGTTCGCTCCTTCGCGCACGGGCTACGTCGCTAGAGGGGGGGCCCTATGGCAAGCCGTCAGCGTCTCGAAGAAGACAAAGAAGTTGTGCCGCAGCTGCTCCGCGTGTTCGAGCCAGCACGAGAGAAGAGGACGCCAGCAAGAACGACAGCATCTGTGGACGTCCATGCCAGAGCAGAGATAAATAAAATATGTAAGAAACCAAACGCTGCATATCTTCCTACAGGCATATAGTTTTGCAGAAAATTAATTAAATAAGCACAAAAAATGTTGATAAAAACTAACGGGGGCTTTTTTTGGAGTACGCATTGGGCTACGCATTTAGGCATTGGGCTATGTTTGGCCTATCTCGAAGTCTGATTTGGTGGTTTGAGCCTCGCTACATCTGGGAACCCTGCATGGAGAGGGCATTGCTTGCAAAAATCTCTTCGTCACCGCGTTAACACAGCAGGCTACTCGCCGAATGTGTGCATGGCCTGATGCAGACAAGGCGTACTCTACAGCAAGCGGATCGGCAGTCACGGTGTGCGCCCAGTGAGCAAAGCGCTACACGCAACTAGCCATGCAATAAACCATTTAGCTCTTTGAGAACGCACCGTGTTTCAAAAAAGAAAACTGTGTCAGTTGTCACTTCAAAGCAGACCAAGGAACAACTGTGTTACAGACACCCGATTGTGTCTGTTCTGTCGCTGTACCACGCTGCGTATCCCTGACCCCGCAGTAGTATCGAAATGCTCATCAGCGTCGGCACAGCGTGATATTGGGCGGTTGTGCGAGAGTCAACTTTTGGCGAAAAAAAGAAAGAAATGCCTTTGAGGTGGACACTTTAGGCGATATTTCTCGTGCCACTGAGTTTCTTCCTTTGTTTGCAGCGATGGTGCATGTCGGCAGATGCAAATTTGTATCTGATGGTTAATGCACAGTGCATTTAGTGGGTAGATAAGCCGCCGTACCTGGCAGGTACGTATTAACGAGGTTTTACTGTATCCTGGTTCGTTGTATCAAGTTTTGAGTATACGGTAGTTCTTTTTTTCATGATACGGCTGAGGTGTGCACAGCGAAGTGAGGCGTGGTAAGAGCGATGCCCAATTAAGCTGTCAAATGATACTTTTGAAAGTGAAGTTCAAGCACCCCCAAGGTTTTGCTTTCCCCCACAGTCTTTCCCCCGCTACACACAATGCCGTGTGCCATGGGATTGTAAAGCCACAACACTTGAACATGGCGGATGAAGATTAACCTTTTCAATGCACTTCACTCCCTCGCATAAAAGCTCACATGCTTGCATAAAACTCACCTATAACATCGTCATGAACTCATGATCTGCTGCTGGCCATACTGCTAGTGAAAGAAAAGTTACCAACATGTGCGGCAGGTAGTGCCTTCGGAAGCCATACGCAATAAAGAAAAGGTGCAGAGTTTTAGATTTAACTTCATTTAAAACAAGGAAGTCTTGCAATGCGGTTGATTGTAAAGTCGCAGGATCGCAAGAACTGAGACTTTTGAACTCTTCTCAAGCAAAATAAGAACAGGACTTATGTACTCATGCAGAAAATAAAGTGAATTTTAGCACACACATGTTTACTGTTTTCTTGATACTCTCAACAATGTGGTATGTGGTCTTAAGAATGTGGTTAATTTTAACATTTTTTTTCTATTCCCAAAATTCGAACAAATGAGGTTTTATTGCATGATCATTGTGCTTGCAAATATAAAATGCTATCTTTAAGTCTGAGTTAATCACTGCAAAGCTAACTGGTAGCTTTCTACTGAGGATCCTGTGATGTCGCAGAAAAACACATGTTTGCCAAGGCCAGATGGCAAGCGCAATGAGTCCAGTAATTCATGTTAAAAAGGCACTAAGCAAAGCGCATTAAAGGGGCCCTGAAACACTTTTTCAAGTAACCATGAAATAGATTCACTGAAAGAGCTTATTGCCTCACGAATTCAACACCACAAAAATTTTAAGAATCCTTCCAGTGGGAGTAGAGTTACAAAGGTTTGACGCACAATGCAGTTGCATTTTCTCTTTTCTCGTCCCGAGGAAAGTGCTGGAAGCTAAGCAGGGAGGGATGGCAGGGCCGAAGGAAACCCTCACGCGCACTTTGCGACCTTGAGCACTTTCTTTTCTTTCTTTCTTCTTTCTTCAAATGCGCGGCTTTTCCGTGTGATCACGCACACGCGTGGACAAGTAGCGGCCTCCCGCGGCGATCTCTGTAACGATTGAGCGCACCATGTTCAAATCAGCCAATGGCTGATAGATGACGTTGACGTGTGATTTTTGGGTATATAACGTGATTTGTCAAGAGAAGAGAAAGCAAATTTTAGCCGACTGATAATTTTTTTGTGAATTCCAGGCCGCGTGCTGTGCTATAATATTTGGCTCGCATGTTGTCGGGAGCCTCTACTGCCGATCGGCAGTGTTTTCTGACCATGCTCAAAAAGTGTTGCAGGGCCCCTTTAAGAGTTCGCAGAAAGGCACCAATGCTCACCGTGTCCTGATGGCAACGGAAGGGCTGTGCAGGGAGCCTGGCCATCTGTGCGTAGCCTCAGGAGGTAAAGATGCCGGAAGCCAGACTCCTCACTGGCCCACAGAAGGCGCAGCTCCTGGGGGGATTCTGGCCGCAGGAAGATCAGCACATCGTGCACCTGCAGGACCAATGCAGGCCTTAATATATTTGCCGACAGCTTTTCCTAGCAACAAAGAGAAGGCCACAAGGATGCCAAATTATGCGAGTGCTACCTTTAAGGAGGCGGATTCATCTTAGACATTTTTTTGTTAATTTCCTCAATGACCTAGATCAAACTGCACAGGCACATACAGTACTTTCTGCGGCTTTCAAATTTGTAATTACTTTTACTGTAACTCGCCTTGTTCCTGGGATAACTTAGGTTTACTCCGCATTGTTTAAGGCCACAATAGAAAAAAAAAAGTGCTTAATGGGTCATTCCACACCAACTATCCCAACCAGCACTAGCCAAAAAACAATATTTATCAAATAGTCTGAGAGAAACATATAGACATTAGTTCTAAAGTATTTTCTCCAAGATTTCTGAGCGGCAAAAATTTTTTGCGCCCCTGACAACCATTTAAAATTCATGAAATTGTGGAAAACCAGGTAATAAAAAAATTCCATATAAATTTAATTTTGTACATTCTTCTAATACTTGATTTTTTGCATTTTTAGAGCAACATGCTTGTATTATAAGGCAGTTTCTTATGATAGACTCAAAATCTTCACTTTTTTCGGCATACAAAAAAACTGAGCAAATTGTAGTGTTTTTGATATATTTTTTTTACAAAATACGACCATCAATAGGAAGCATAAATTGATTTCATCAAGCTCTCCATAAAATGTACTATTCACAAATATTTTTGTTTTGCCAGTGTGCGACGCATAGGCTCTAAAATAAAATCCTGAACTTGGCAAAAGCGCCAGTTTGATCTAAGTTGAGACGTCTGTAGCACCATAAGGTGGTCCAAGGAAAAATCAGGAGAAAAGCACATACGATTGAGAATCATAGCGACTTTGTTCACAGAAAGTTTAAACAAAGTAATTTCTGTTTTAGTGGAGAAAAAAAATATTTAAACTTTAGTCTTGCTATCGCATTGCTTTGCTGTGGAGGCAATACAAGCCAACTGAATTCGCTGCATAAAAAGTGTGGTAGTGCACTTACAACACATGGTTAGAAGTTCTTCTTGTTAGCACCTATTTTGTATAAATTAAACTCTATTTCAGTACTCTATTTGTTAGTACTCTATTATGTACTCAATCTTGTAGAAAAAAACTGATAGCACAGTTTCTTCAAAAAACAACAACCATGGTGTGTATGTTTTTCAGCGCTAATAAAGGCACTCACAATTGGTTGGAGAGCTTGGAACAAAGGTGCTGGCAAATTATAAAGAAGCCTCAAAGTAGGAGATTCCCATTTTTTTGCAGGTTCCGCATTTTGGTAGCACCAAGAATCTGGACAGTCAGAATTACATTAGTAAAAAATTACCGCGTCCTGGTATGTGAAAACTTGCGGAAAGATGGGAAAAATACTTGCGGAAACCAAATATGTCGATTTTAAAAAATGAATTTTTTTGTCACTTTTTGGTCCCCAAGGACCAGCATACCTCTAAATGAGCAAATTACACTTTCATCGATACCTCATTATTTGTATTTAACAGCTTGTTATACCAGCTTACATGCTCTAAATATAGTAAATTTTAAAATGTACCATATTTTACAGGCTACCACTTGCATTGTATCGAAAGTCAAATCCTGCCACTACTGAAAGTTGTTTCCACTTCCTTTGAACAACAAAAAAGAAAATTTGCACGTTCTGTCTCAATTTTTTTTAAATATTTTGCAGGTTAGTAAGGTTATGACAACATGTGCATTGTTTTTTATACGTGACATATTCTATACAAATTTGTTCTGAAATTATTTAATAAAAATTACGATTCACTTCTGCATTATGGCTAAGTTTCAAAACTGCCCGACTGTACTGAGAAAACGACAACACTTTTTACTGGGCTGACTTTTCTTATTTTGACCCTTTGTCTTTCTCGTCCTTCCATTAGCCCAGTGTGTGCTCGTGCCTGAACAGCACTCTGTCATAAAGGGGCCCAGTAATACTTTTTGAGCATGGTCAGAAAATGCTGCCGATCGGTTCCTGACAACATACGAGCCAAATGCTAGAGCACAGCACACGGCTTGGAATTCACAATAAATTCTCAAAGTCAGCTAAATATTGCTTTTTCTCTCAGCAGCTACAAGCTCAAAAATGATTCGTCACAGCCCCTGCATCAGCCATTGGCTTATTTGAGCGTGGTGCACTTGGTCATTACTAAGGCCTCCACGAGAGGCCACTACTTGGCCACGCATGTGAGTGTGATCGTACAGAAAAGCTGTGTATCCAAAAAAAGAGAGAGAGAGAGAGAAAGTGCTCAAGGTCACGAGATGCACGTACATTATTTTCTTTCCACATGACACCCCTCCTCAATTAGCTTCCAGCAGAGGGAAAAGCAAATGAAATTGCAGCATGTGACAAATCTTTGTGTAACTCTTCTTGTACTGGACAGATTCTGCAAATTTTTGTGACTGCAATCGTGAGGCAATAAGTTCCTTCAGTGAATCCATTTTATGGCTACCTGTAAAAGTGTTACTGGGCCTCTATAAAGTTAAAGAGGCCCTGCAACACTTTTCCAATCCCCATTGCATTGCTTCATAAAAGAGTTTATTTCCTCATGAATTGATCGTGGCAAAATTTTTTAGAATCCATCAAGTATGAGCAAATATTTTTCACATGCTGTGATAATTGTGCACTCTATTCTTTTGCCCCAACGAACGCACTGGAAGCGAAGCTTAGAGGGATGACACAGGAAAAAAAAGTGACATCATGCACGCATAGTCATTTTGAGCACTTTTTCTTTTTCTTCAGACTTCCAGTACAATCGCGAACCCACGGGGGGCCATGTGGCAGAATTCTGCAATAACCTCGAGATTGGTGCAGCCCATGTTGCTCAAATCAGCCAATAGCCGTAAATTTGGGTACATGACACGGTCATTTTGGTATATGTCATGATTTGTAGAAAGAACAGAGAACAATTTCTAGCTGACTTGATGAAATAATTGTAAAGTCCAGTCCTTGTGCTGTGCTATAATGCACTGGGCATGTTCTCGAGAGTCTTGTGTACCCATTAGCAGCCTTTTACGACCATGCTAAAAAGTGTAGCAGGGCTCCTTTCAAGAAACACAAATACCTCACTAGTCTGCACTGCATCCTCTTCCAGTAGCTCCCTATCTAAAATGAAGAAAAAATTTTTTAATTTCATTGCACGACTATGTTCATTAAACCTCGAAGTGGAGTTGCGCGGCAGTGAGGATTTTCACTCGACAGGTATTTTTACAGCTTAGCACCTTTTCACCGCAGTGAAGCCACATTTACAAAAGGTTACATGCAGACTAATATATTGTATTTACTCGCGTAATGACACCACTCGCATAATAAACACAACCCCAACTTCCGTCACTAAAATTGAGATTTGCTGTTTTTTCCCCTGCGTAATAAAAGCACATCTACATTCATCCGCTGCAGTCCCGCTAACCGATACCTGGTGCCTTCTCACACGTTAGATCTCTTCCATTTATTATTATTTTGCCGACGTAACTCGGCTCGCTCCCTCCCTTCTCCGCCCATTGCCGCGTGCCGTATTGTTTTTCTTTCTATCTGTGCGTGGCACGTCCCCCGTCTTATCTGTGCACCACAGCAGGGTTCACGAACTGTGCGAGTGTAGAGACATCGCAGCTGATAAGCACACAGCGAGCGAAGGTCACGAAACTGCCCAACCGCAGGCACGCGATTTTCGAGCAACGACGACAGAATCTGCTGTCACGAAGGGTCATTCATCGCTATCGTGTCGCAGGTTTCTGGAAAACCAGAAAAAATCGCTTGTCGTCCCAAAACAATCTTGATTCCCGCGCCACACAGAGCCCCCCCCCCCCGATTCTCGTTTCTCTTGTTATCCGCGCATAGAGGAACTTCTCATGTAGAAGCGAGGCGTTGGCCTTATTTTGTCATTAATCTTGTTAGCGACTGTTTTTTTTGATGCTTCAGGGGTAGCTTGCTGCAATGTTGGTTACTTGCTACAATGTTAATGGCGTCGTCACAATCGTCGTGCCCGGTTGCCACGAAGTCGGCATAGTGCGTCGTAGCGTCATAACGCACGCTTTTGGGCGTCCCTCGAGATCACAGCAGATACCACTCTTGTGGTTAAAGGACTTGTGAGAAAAGATAGCACCAAAACGTGTTTATGAAGTGCGCGGGCGGCTTGGGGATGGCTTGCAGAAGGTAGCGACATCAACCATCGAAAATGAGTCAAGTGCAACAAAGAAGCTATTTCCAAACAGTGTACCCATATGTCGAATTCGAAAGCGACTTAACTTTACCGAATTTCTTGCTCCTCCCGAAAAATTTTTCATAAAATTTGCCCCGCATAATAAACGCACCCTCCAACTTTGCTCCAATTTTTCGAGAAAAAAAGTGCGTTGATTACACGAGTATACACCTATTCATTCATTTCGTATGCTTCAAAATTTTTAATATTTAATTTTGAAACAAATCGAGTTCCATTATTTAAAGCATACGAATATTTGAATGATTATAGTTATACTCTGGCCTTTATAAATTGTCTGTTTTTCACACCTCTTTGTCAAAGTGGCTCATTGTCAGAGTGGCACGATTTTTGAAGCAGGCAGACACTATTATAAGTAAACCAAGAGAAAAACATAAAGCAGTGATACACACATTGATCCAGACTTGCGAGTTCTCCTGCCAGAGAAGCAGAGACTGTGTAGAGGCCTGCTGCAATCCTTCAGCAGGTTGGAAGCTACTCAGTGGGAACAGCAGTAGCTGCAGTCGCTGCTGTGGACGATCCAGAAGCTCAGCCCACACCCTGAAAAAGCCCTCACATGAGAACTACGTGCTGGGCAACAACACACAGTGGCACTAACGAGAAAAGAGACAGAACGTGAACACACTGTGGTGATTAGTGAAAGCAACACTTCTATTAGTCGACTCTCTTTCATTCAAACTCAAAGGGACCTCTGAATTTTGTTTGAATTATCAAGAAGTTTCAATAATCGTAAGTTTTCAGATATATCACTCCAGGCAAGGTCACACATTGATTTTTATCGCACTTAAAATTTTTAAAGCATTTTTCAACCTTAACTGCACCCAATGAACAGAAAGCAGAGGTGTAAGGTCCACAAGTTTATTGGCCATTTATTAGTGATCAAAGCTTTTAAAGACATCGTGAATTGCCAACTGCTTCTTTGCTATATGCGCCTTCAGCACAAAGCCATCTCTATACCAGTCAAGAAGCATCAAGGCTTATCATGTGTGCGCTTCATTTATAACACTTGTTTACTAGTAGAGCCTTTTTCCTTGGAGGCCTGAGGTGCTTATTTTTCATTTTTAGACTTACGATCATTTCGGCACGCAAATTTTTATATAATAGTAGAAAAACAGCAAATATTTCCTGGTATAAAACTGCAAAAAATATGAATTACCAAATGGTAGAGTTTGAATCAAGATGCTTTTAAATACATTGAAAGAATAGACAGCCAACCAAATAATTGATTTTTGTTTGAATTATCCAAAAGTATGAATTATCAGAGTTTGAATTATTGCGAGTCTGCTGTAGCAGAAATCTCGTAAAAGAAACGGCTGCTTAAATGGAACAAGTGCTTCTGACAAGATTGCTTTCATGCTTGCATTTTTACCCCGTGGTCATCTCTCAGTAAACGAAAGTACCGTTAAACGGAACACATTTGCCTGGTCCCTTCAGGCTTCATTTAATGAGTCTACTGCAATTGTGAAGGTATATCTGGAGTCGAATGTAGCATTCCTAGCAACTAATCAAGTTATTCACGTGCAGCAGAAAGAGCCCTTGACAAAAGACGGCCACAGTGGGTCACATATAGTTCTGCAATGATTCCTAGACAAGAGGCACTCACGCAGAGCCGTCAGGAGTCCAGCCAGCTCTTAGAAGGTACTCCGAACTTGGTGAAAGTGATGACAGGGGCTCCGTCAAGGACAGCAGGCACACCTGCTCGAACTGCAAGTGAAAGAGAGTATTCCCGCGGGACAACTCTCTATTGCATGGATTCATGCACTGGAAAACGTTTTCATGTTCTCATCTGATAAGAATATGCTAGGGGATCCTCAGTAAATTGTATTTGTGATTTCAAGGCTTCTGCTAAGAGTAAATTCTAGATTCGAATTCAATTCAAAACTAAGAGTGACTTGGTTCGACAGGGTTTATGCTCACTTATATGACAGAAATTCAAGAGTTTTTAAGGACTATCAAGACTACATGTGTGAGTTTTCAAGGGCCGCTTTGTCTGTTATAGAATCAACCGACACATCCTCAGGGGAGAATGAAAGCTTGAAATAACTAGAATTCAACAAAAAAAGATAACATCCCTAGGGCCAACATTGGAAACATGGCTTCAATGACATTTCTTTCTGAAGAGCTTTCAATCATAGTTTTTAGAGGCCCATATATGATCGCTTCTAGTATGAAACAAGATGCAAAGCTTTATTCAAGTGGGAAAAGCTAAGGAACAGTTATGCTACTCCTTGCTGCTTCTCCTGAATTTTCATATCAATGTCCACAACCTCCTAGTGCTTGGTGTTGGCAGCCTTCCTAAGGCTGCTTGACTTGATAATGCACGTCGGGTCACTAATTGCCTCTGCCTTTCCTGCACATGAGTCTGCAGTAGCTGCTAATTCCAAAACAGCGACTTCTAATTTCTTTTTCGTTTCCGTAAGCATTTGACGCCCCCCTCAATGGAACATTTCTTTCTCCAATCCTCCTACTCCTGCCTTTTGTGGTTTACAAAAATGCACAGAGTTGTCTGCCGCGGTGGGGCAGCCATTACGGTGTTCAGCTGAAGACCCGATGATCGTGGGCTCGATCCCGGCCGTGCCAGTCAAATTTCGATGGAGGCGAAATCATAGAGGCGCATGTGGTGTGTGATGTCAGTGCATGTTAAAGAATACCAGATAATCAAAATTTCCGGAGCCTTCCAATATGGTGTTTCTCATCTGTTGGTATTAGGGGCATAAAGCCCCAGATAATATTGTTATAAAAAATGCATGGAGTTGAACACTGTCGAAATTTGGGCTTGTTGGTGCATTGTGACGACAGAAAATAGCACAAAGAAACGGGGACACAAGACGAGGACACACGGCACAGGCGCTAACTTCCAACATAATGTTTATTACCACCGCACGCTCGCCTATATCACCAAGAAAAATAACATCACATGACATGAATGATGCGCACAAAATATTAATTTCTTAGAAAATACAATTCTTTATCACTATGCATAAGAGAGGGAGTGCTGACGCACTTAGACCCCAGTGAAGCGATAGCCTCAGCCTCAATAATCTCTCTAGTAAGCTTGTCAAACATTCTCTTGATAACTGTGCATGCATTGAATATCGGCGCGCAGCCGCAGGATTTACAATGTATGGCCAACCAACTTCCCTGGCCGTTTTTCACATTATTACAATGTTCTCTTAATCGATCATTAAGACAACGGCCCGTCTGTCCGATATACTCTTTACCACAAGAAAGCGGGATACGATAAACAACGCTTATGATACAGGGAACAAACAGTTCGATGCTTCTTACTACAACCTTTCGGTTTTCCGTCACGGTCATGAAGGCCACAAAGGCTGACCAACTTCTTGGGAGCCGAAAAGACAACCCTAACTTCAGAGCGCTTAGCTAATTTTTTTAGGTTGTGCGATATCTTGTGATAGTATGGTATGACGACTAGGTGCTTCGGTTTCTCGGAATCACGACTCGCTGTACATCCTGGGTTGCGAAGCGTACGAAGCAAGCCTTCTGCAACTGAAGTTTGGACGTGCATAGGATAACCTACAAGAGCGATGTAGTCGCCTACATCGCTCTTACATCCTGTCAAGCTCGTTCCCTTGCTTTTTGCATTCGCCACAGCATTTTGCCTCAGGAAGTCGAGCGCCTTTTCGGCAACGTCGCCCCCTCAGTTGGTCATGGGCTTAGGGTGTGCAAAATCTTGAAGGCAGAATGGTATAGACAAGCACGTCTACATAAACAATACATGTCCGCTCTTCTTTTTGATCGTCTCGAAGATACTGTGGCCATGCAGCAGCTTCGACAATTTCAGCGCCTCGCCGACCAAAGCACGGAATTCCTCTGGGCTCGACAATTGCCGGTGCTACGCACAGGCGTCGCCAAAAAAGTGACCGATCAAAAGCCGACAGTTCACGTGCCTGAACAGATCACCGTGCCTCCCGACATCCTCCGGACTTTAAGCCTCGGGCCCAAGTTTGCGGTGGAACCTAAGACGTCTCCACCGGAACTTCTAGCCATGGTGCGACAAGTTTCACGCCATGTGCCCGAACAAGAGCAACCTCACTCCGTCTCAGAAGGCGTTGACACTGTTTCGCGCTACAGACCAGCTGGATCCAAAATTCCTCTCAGGAGAGTTGAGGCTTTTCTCAAGGAGCACTCTCTTACCGTCCTTCCCGCTGATAAGGAAGGAGGCTTCGCCATCCTGACTCTGGGACTGTTTGGTTCTAAGGCTCACACTGCCGTAAGCTCTGTTTTCTCCTCTCGCGAGGACGTCCGCATTGAAAAAGTTAAATCGGTAGCAAGAAAGCTATGCAAAGACCTTAACCTTTCTCGAGTTGTCAGTGGCATCACAAATAGTAAGCATGACTTTTTAAAAGTGTTTTTTAATGCAAAGACTCACAAGAGTAATATGCCTTTTAGGGTAATTGTTTCAGAATGTGATACATGGCAAAAATCGATTGCTACCTTTTTGCAAGAACAGTTGAACCAGCTTAACGTTGATGATCCTTTCATAGTAAAAAGTTCTGATCAAGTCATAGATTATGTGAAAACTTGTGTCGTTGAGCATGTTTATGGTTTTTCAGTCGACGTGACTGATTTGTATTATTCTATTCCCCATGATCAGTTGCTTCCTGCGGTTGAAGAGTGCATAGATTTGTTTGGCTCTGTTAGATTTCAAACCGAGTGTGGTGTTCCTGCCAGTCGGTTTTTAGAACTTTTATCATTTTACCTCAAGACGACCTACATTTCATGGGATGGCAAGCCTTTTATTCAAAAAGACGGAATCTGTATCGGGTCCTGCATTGCGCCTTTTTTAAGCAACATATTTTTAAGTAGAATTGACAGATCGATTTACCTACATCTTGATAATTTGAAGATAAAAAAAGTGTTCCGGTATGTCGATGACTATCTTGTTTTATTAACTAACGACACGGTAGCGGATGAGGCAGGTTTGGCAAAAATAATTTCACATTTTTCTGAGTGTTTTAAACCCTTGACTCTCACACACGAACTGCCTGAAAGCAATGCCATAAAATTCCTCGATGTCCTCTTCACCTTTCATCCTAACCGCATATGTTGGGCTTACCAACCACGTACGAACAAACCGGTCCTTCCTTACCAATCAGCTCACTCCAAACTAGTGAAAAGAGGCATCATCAGTCATTGTTTTCGTCATGCTTTAAGCAAATCTTGTGAGCACGAAATCGCCAATAGTTTTCATAATCAGTCAGACCGTTTGTTGAAAGCAGGTTATCCTATGCACGTCCAAACTTCAGTTGCAGAAGGCTTGCTTCGTACGCTTCGCAACCCAGGATGTACAGCGAGTCGTGATTCCGAGAAACCGAAGCACCTAGTCGTCATACCATACTATCACAAGATATCGCACAACCTAAAGAAATTAGCTAAGCGCTCTGAAGTTAGGGTTGTCTTTTCGGCTCCCAAGAAGTTGGTCAGCCTTTGTGGCCTTCATGACCGTGACGGAAAACCCAAAGGTTGTAGTAAGAAGCATCGAACTGTTTATGTTCCCTGTATCATATGCGTTGTTTATCGTATCCCGCTTTCTTGTGGTAAAGAGTATATTGGACAGACGGGCCATTGTCTTAATGATCGATTAAGAGAACATTGTAATAATGTGAAAAACGGCCAGGGAAGTTGGTTGGCCATACATTGTAAATCCTGCGGCTGCGCGCCGATATTCAATGCATGCACAGTTATCAAGAGAATGTTTGACAAGCTTACTAGAGAGATTATTGAGGCTGAGGCTATCGCTTCACTGGGGTCTAAGTGCGTCAGCACTCCCTCTCTTACGCTTAGTGATAAAGAATTGTATTTTCTAAGAAATTAATTTTTTGTGCGCATCATTCATGTCATGTGATGTTATTTTTCTTGGTGATATAGGCGAGCGTGCGGTGGTAATAAACATTATGTTGGAAGTTAGCGCCTGTGCCGTGTGTCCTCGTCTTGTGCCCCGTTTCTTTGCGCTATTTTCTGTCGTCGCATGGAGTTGGTTCCTCACAGAAGCAACTGATGTTCTCAATTTTTTTTCGTGATAGGCACATTACATATGCCATCTGCTACATTTACGGCATCACAAATAATGGTCTGTTAAAATGTGTGAAAACGTTTATTAAAAATAAAAAAAGAATTTCAAAATTTTTCAAGGACTTCTGAAAATTCCAGCACACTCAAGGTCTTGAAAACAAACTTTTCAAATTCAAAAGTTTTCAAGGGTTTCAAGGACCCGCATGAAAGTGGTTTGATTAATCTTTAACCAAATTTGAATAGTATATGTCACATATTATAAAGAATAAATTAGCATATTTGTCATGACCCAACTAACCTGCACACTATTGTTTTTAATTGAAACAAGGCATGAGAAAATGTCATTCCTTTCGGTACAAAGGAAATGGAAGAAAATTCAAATAGCCTCAGGATTTGACTTTGGGTATAATGTAAGCGATAACCTGTAAAATATTGTACGTTTTAAACTTTACTATACTTAGAGCATGTAAGCCACTATAACAAGTTTTTAAACTTCAAAAATAAATAAATGTGGGGTTAATATCTTCATTTAACTTTAAAGGGAAACTAAAGACAAATATTAAGTCTATGTTGATTGTTGAAGTAGAGGTCCAGAAACTTTGTCATGCTGGTTTTGTGCCAAGGAAGTGTTTATATTGAAATAAAATTATGTTTTAATGCTCTGAGCCGCGTTAGCACACTTGAAATTACCCATGCCTGAAAGCAGTTTTCCAGGTGTCACTCTTACAATGCCCAACGTTGCCCGCTTTTACTGCATGGTCACGAACACCAGTACCGGCAGAGCAAAAGTAGCGGGAGCCACGTAGCAACAATGGCCCTTGAACAATTTTCTGCAATCTCGGAGGCCATAATTCTGCCTACTTGATTCAACTGGGCCCCGCTAGATGGCACCACCTATCTAGCCTGACCAGCCAAAAACTGAACTTTTGAACCATTTGCACCATTCCCCATAGTAACGCTAGGCAATTCTTTTTTCTATAAATCAAACAGGAACGAAGAAGCAGAATTTTATTACATCTGTTGATGCACGGAAAGTTCAATTTTTGTGGCAGCTAGTCCGATTACTAATGAGTAATTGTAATCAGAACTCTCACGTCATCGGGATCATTTCTCAAACTTCCCACTCATGGCGCACGTCGTGCGATACATTTATCTTAGTGTCTTGGTGAGTAAGGCACTACTGTTGAATCTATTGCCATTTTAGATGTTGCCATTCATTGAGCTTTCACTCTGACATAAAACTGTCCTTTGCCTTTAGTGCCCCTTTAAAATGAAGCTTCGAGTAAATGCGAATTGCCCCTGTAAGCATGCATTCACAGCATAGTACTCCTCTACTGCAGCAAAACCACTTTTACAGGGGCGCTGCATGCGGATTACTATATAGTACACCTATCCGTAGAGCCCACTTCGATTGCTCACACTGCTCTATGTTACTTGCTGAGCAAAAGGGCTCCTGCTTGTTTTTTTGCAAGCAGAACCACCCACTGGCATGCAACACATGTTTTGCACTGTTGTACTACACCTGCAATTCAGCCTCGAAGAATAGCACAGCAGATGCACAGAGAGCCCCACAACCGTCAGTTTGTACTGCACCGCCCAAGTGTTCTGGTACACGAGGGATGCCCTCTGACACATACTACTGTAGTGCCGCACTGCCGCAGCTTTTGGCAGTGCAGGAAGCTCTCGTATGGTGTGATGGTGAAGTTTCATAAACAAAAAAATATTGAAGGATTCTCAAGGGCACTTCTCTGTCACCATATGCAAGTTTGGATTGTTGCTTTACAATAGAACACATTTTTTCGGGGCCACAGTGACACATCATGTAGGCCTCCCAGTAAACTTTGGAAGACAGTGGTGTTCAAAACTTGTTTCATTCACCGGGCAGCAAGAGTGATAAAGCTGGTGCAGCGCTATTGGTGACCTATGCATGCAGCCTACTTTTCTTTGTGAGAATTCATCCTTTCAATCAAGCAACTAATAGCTCATTTCAACTTCTGAAACGTAGGAGGGAAACGTTTTTCCTGGAATCAAGATCGTTATGATATACGCAATGTAAGCAACAGGCTTTCTTTTTGGGGCATGACAAGAGAGCTGATATCGTAACTTAAAACCACAAAATTTCCCATAAATGGCTGCCCACCTGTCCAGTGTGGGAGAGTGCAAACTGTGCCAGGGCAAGTGAGGAGCGGGCATTTGGTGAACCCGCACGAGGGAAGCGGTGCTCCTCTGTGCCAGCCACGCCATCCTCCCCAAACGAAGGCAACTGGAGAACTTCCACATCATTCTCGTCCACTATCTCGTAGAGGATACGGTACGTCCCCGTAGCGTCTGCATGTTGCACATCAATGAGAGAAAAAGTGCAAGTTTATGCCTCAAAAAGTATCCCACTCTGAAAAATGTTTTATGATTTTACCTTATTGGCCCTCTTGCTGTTTAGTCCACTAACACACACTTATAAAAATTCCACTTAAATGAATACCGATTAACATTTGAAAATTCCGAAAGTGCTTTGATGGTGATCATCTATCAGAGAGAGCCATATTCAGCAAGCCATATTCAGTAAGGCTGTTGATCCGTGTGGTACAATGCTACATAAAAACTTTTGTGGCCTGAAATGCAAGTCCCACTTAATTCCTATAGGGCCATATGTAAAGCAAAAGCTTAGTAGATCAACTCTCATTCATTCTGAAAGTCAATTAAATCTGATTTGTCATATTGTTTTTGCAAATATATGCATCACGTAATACAACTGGACGCTTGCTATATTCAAGACATTTGATCACACATTCAATATGTAAGACAACTCTGGGCTGTGACTGCAATTCAAAAACCAAAGGAAGACCAGCCATCTGAGTTGAGCACATACAAAATGATTTATGAATTTTAGAATGGATATTACAACACTACAAGCAGAACTCAATACAGATTATTTGCAACTGGTTACAATCAAAGGTTCATTATTATACCTTTGTGCACACTTCTTGAAATGAACAACCATTAAGTTATTACATGCACTAGTCTAGACTTATAAGGGAAAAAGAAATGTGAAAAAAAAAAAAACAGGATCATTCAGACCCAGCTCACAGTGGTTAAACTCTTATGTACACATTTCAACATGCTAAAAGGAGCACGTACAATACAGCTGCCAACCAATTATTAGGACGCTGAAAATTTGTAGGTACCCGTTTATTGGGACACCTTCGAGGCACCGCCACTCGCTCCATTGAAGCAATGTAAACTGACAACCAAATATTCGGACGCCCCACGAAGGGCCCTTTTGATTTTTTTTTTTTTTTTTTTAACTTTGGCTGGCTGATCAAGCGCGGCATCATACTACAGGACCAGCTGCCAGCGATGTTTACAATATTTTGGCTAGGTTTCCAGCACTAAAAGGTTGCATTGGCTATGGCTGGAGATCATGCCAGTGTAATTACAATTGCCATTCTCAAAGGTTATATGTTTTGGCTACAGTTGAATCCCGCTACAACGAAATTGACGGGGCGGGCGCAAAATTTCGTTATCGCGGAAATTCGTTGTCGCTATATGATGAAATACATACGTGACACGGGACTTGCTGAAGCAAAAGAACAAGCTTTAATGCCAAAAATCGCTCAACTTCGCCTGTTTCCGCTTCTTGCCAAGCGATGGCACAACACGACTTTCGCACGCTGCCAGTAGAGCCATTGCTTCATCGTCGTCCTGCGACCCGATGCAACGCCTGATGATATCGAATGCGTCCAGCACCTGTGAAGTCGGTGGTAGTGCGGGATCACGTTGCGCGATTGTGTCATCATCGTCCGACGAAACACCATCTTCCTGGACGCTCTTTATGATGTCTGCGTCCGTCATTTCTTTGTGCACCACCAAGCAAGAGTCGGCTTGCAAGAACTTGCTGATATGTACGTCGGCGGGCACATCACTTTTCTGCAGGTCTGCCCAAGCGACTGCAATTTCTTCGTCCTGGTCCAGCAACCTGTCCTCATCGCGGTCTGCGTCGCCATCGTAAGCTTCAATCGCAGAATCGGAAGTCCGGGCGCACTGTACTGCGAATCCGGCATGGCGAAAGCAGTTAGCGACTACGGCGCTCCCCGTCTCGCACCACGAAGCAGCGATCATTCGGAGCGCCATGAACAAGTAAATTTTTGTTTCGCGACCCAACCGAGTGTTCAAAATCAGCCTTTGGATAAGGCGCTTGCGGTACGCACACTTGACGCTTTGGATGACCCCTTGGTCGAGGGGTTGAATGATAGACGTGCAGTTCGGTGGCAAAAACTTGAGCTACACGTTCTCGAGCTCCGTGTCCTCAATGGAATATGCGGAACAATTGTCTAAAAGCAGACAAACCTTGCGGCCTTGCCTGCCCATGTCCCGGTCGAATTCCTCGACCCACTCTCCAAAAATTGCACGGGTCATCCACGCCCCGCTGTTGGCCACGTACTTCACTGGAAGGCGCCGATTTCCTTTGAAGCAGCGCGGTTTTGCGCTTTTGCCAATGACCAAAAGCGGTCGCTTATCTGATCCGTCCATATTGGCGCACAGTAGCACGGTGATCTTTTTCTTGCTGTGTTTACCTCCTTGACAGCACAGCCCCTTAAAATCCAGGGTCTTGTTCGGTAACATTTTGTAGAATAGACCGGTCTCATCGGCATTGTATATGTCCGATGATGCGGCGCCGTCTTTATCTGCCGAAGCGGCTTCACCACACAACACTTTGCCGATGATGCTGTGGCGGGATTTAAATCTGTTTAGCCAACCTACGCTGGCCTTGAAATCATCAATGCCGAGCATGCAGGCAAAATCCAGCGCCTTCTGCCGTACAATATCGCCGCTAAGGGCAATTTTCTTGGCCCGCGTCTCCACGAACCAGGTGTAAACAGCCTTGTCTAAGGCTTCGTGCACTAGCTGGGTCACCTTCTTATGCTTAGCGGACGTCCCTGAAGCTAGAGCTTTGCCTATCGCGTCCTTGCTCTTCAATATAGTTGACAGAGAGCTCGCCGCAATCCCGAACTCTTCAGCCATGAGTGCCTTCTTCTTTCCAGCTTCAGCCTGTGCGATGATGCGAGCCTTGCCTTCGAGCGACAAAAACTTGCGCTTTTTCGCCGGCTGCGCCATCATTGATCGCGTTACTGCACGTTCGGGAAACAATCAAACTATGACCAAAGCGTGCGATCACTCGTTGTGAAGAAGCTAGCCCTAGTCAAGCCGCCGGAAGCGGAAGCCGTCGTCCGAACGCATCGTCGCACTCTACCGGGATTTGCCTCGCATCTGCAATTTTGTACGTACGTACGTACACATAAATTGGAAATTCCTGACATTGAAACCATTCTCACAAACGTTATAAAAATGATTAAAAATACTATAAAAATCAAATTAATGCGTGTTGTTTGTACACAGACACGATTCAAAACGTTTCCGACGTTTCTTCTGAATCTACATGAGAGCGCGTTGCATTGACTGCATCGCCATCACTATCGCGGTATGTATGGCGGCTTTGTGTTGTTTACATTGCGCAGCGAGTCACCGTCGCTCTTAGTATGCACGCTCAGAGCAACATCTTGTGTGTGTGTGTTTTTTTTTAAATGTTATTAAGGTCCATGGTTTGTCAAGGCATTAAAACACTTTTGAGAATTTCAATAAGATGTAATTTGAATAATTTTGCTCGTGCCTGTCCCGCAAAAACTTCGTTGAAGTGGAAATGCTGCTGTGAAGTAGTTCGTATTGGAGGCAATTTCGAAGCATTATATACCCTATGGGACATCGACGGGGAATGGAAAAACCTTCGTTGTGGCGGAAATTTCGTTGAAGCGGACTTCGTTGTGCCGGGATTCGACTGTACACACAAAGGCTGTATTTTGGCTTTAGCCAGCCGAGTATTCATTGAACGACTACCACAGCTAAACCACAAGCTAAGCCAAGTCACACTTGAAGCCAGCTCAGTGCGAGGTTCAAAACGACCCTACGTGCAAAACGGACAAAAAAAAGGACAGATTCACCAGCGCTGCAGCCTGAACTAGCCTGGTGTCGTTCCCTCATGGCATCTAAGAGTTTGCTTGGCAGTTGTTTCTGTGGCTAGGCCTGACCTGTGTATCGCGCTGTGCATCTCGCTCTCTTGTTTGTTGCACTATGTGCGAGGCCTGATCTACAGAAATAGCTCTGATGTACACGTTCCGTCTGTGCCATTGCTACTTACGAAGAAACATGACAAATACAAGACACTGGTGATGACAAAAACCGCTGGAATTATTTGTCAGATCGAAGGCAGCCGACCTCAACCCAATGCTTTTCGGGAGTTTTCGCCACGATGGGCGATGATGAGAGTGAGTGATGTCCCCAAACCAGCACAGGTAAACAGAGCCTAAAATGAAGTGCCGTCCACACCTCTTTTATAAAATGTAGATCTAGCGCAGGGCATAACAACCCTACAATTTAATGCTATGGCCAAACACTGGCTGAAATACAGGCCGACTTAGTCATTTATGATTGTGCATGTGTGAAGACGTACATTAACAAGTTTTTCTGGTCAATGGGCCAATAAATGGGCTTTATTTTTGGTGAATAGTTTTTCTTTTTTCTGGAATCTCTATTATTAAGGACTTTTTGCCGGTTCCTGATGTGCCCAAATAAACAGTCGGCAACTGTACACTTGTTTGGCATTTTATGAACTTGGCATCCTCTTTTCAAGCACAACTGCATTTTCTTTCCTTTTTTTCAAACCTTTTTTCTTTTTTTTTTTTTGCTACACCACTTTAGAGTTTTGGGCTTAAAATACAGGTGCTGAAAGCTACGTAAGCCCCATACCAGCCGGTCACATTCTTTGGCACATGGTAAAAACAAAGACATAAGGCGCAACTGTTACACTGCTCCATAAAAGCCTAACAGGTTCAGTCCATAAAATGCCTAACACAGAGTCCATACACTGAGTCCATAAAATGCCTAACAGGTTCAGTGTCCACATTCTACCCTTACTACAGACATGCTTGACTGAAGGCCCCCCCTTGCAAACTGGTGAGGAACGGTGAGAAATGAGGAGCGCTCACCAATGGTGGGGCACCACCAGAAGCCGACGTATCGGTTGAACTCCTCCTGGGTGACGTAGGACGGTATTCCCACACTGATTGGACTCTCCGACACACTGGCCCCTTCTGCGCAAGTGGGTGAGAGAACACGAGTTAGCCCAAATGCAGCAACAGCAGATTTCAGCCTACTACCTGGCTCAAGCTATCAAGCAAAGCCTAATCAACACACTCTGCAACAGTATCACGAGATATCTGCCAAGTCGAAAACTTTCCATACCATGCCATGAACTCCATGTATCTTTTTCGCCCTCTGTATGAAAGCCTTTATCCACATCATCCACTAGTTTACAATGCAGTGCTCCCTTTTTCTAATGCTCATGTACAAAAACTCCGCCGGGTCTCAGCGCTCTCCAAGATTGTAACTGTGACCGAGTGCTATAAAATCGTCAGTAGAGAGAGAGAGAGAGGGATAGGTTTATTTACAGAAAGGCAGAGAGGTCGGCCTGAGCCATAGCTTGCTCTAGCCTGCTACTCAACACTGGGGGAGGGGAAAGGGGAAAAGAAAGATTAATGGGTGACGATGGTGAGTATGTAGTATTCTTTCTAGTTGAGACAAATTTTATAGCCGCGCATATAGTCCAGTTGCTTCCAAAAAGGTTATAACTGCTCTTATGACCACAATTGCACTGTTGGTGTCTGGCCAAGAGCCCAACACGGTCTCATCAGTTAATGACCTACTGCGATATTGTTCAGTGGAAGAAATCAGTGTTTATCGTTCACGTGCGTATGCTGGGCAGACACAAAATATGTGCTCAAGTGTTTCCGGCACATCACAGTGTTCACTATTAGGACCAGTGTCACGGTGACCGATGGTATGTGCGTAACGTCTGGTGTACGCCACACTAAGATGAATGCAGTGGATCATACTTGTGAGTTGCCGTTTCAATTTGGGGGGCATGCGGAACCTCATTTTTGGGTCCCATTTGTGAAGTCGCCAAAAGTTCAACATAAAGGTAACACTCGCATGCTAGAGCAAACGAGGTTCCTAGCTTCGGTAAGTAGGACGTTACCTTCATATTGGAACAGAAAAAACACTATGCAAAATTTTTTTGTCACCACTATTTTAAAACATCTCAAGGTATGACACAGGTTACTTGGGATGTCGCCGTGCAAAACTCTAGATTAATTCTACTATTTGAAGCTTTTTCACATGAACATTCAGCATGGTAGACTAGCATTTTGCTCTAGTCTTACTGCAAAGCCGGAAAATAAACTGCAGACACTATACTTTGTTTCATACATCAGGTGCAACGCTGTGAAGGCTAGGCAAGTAGTCCGTAAAGAAAACACGAGATGTTGCTCCGCGCGGTTTTGTAGCCGAGTGGTCTGACGCGTCGCTCCGGAGAGTTCACCGTAGTTTTGAAGTGCATGGGTTCGAATCCACGTGGTGCCATTTTTTTTTATAATTTTTGTGAGTTCAATTCGTTTTTTCGGTGACACAAAAGGCCCACGCAGACGCTCCGCCTTCAATTTCGCCACGGTACGGGGAGATATTCCGGTGTCCTCGCTCACAACACTCAGCACTTCCCACACAGATTTCTCCGGGAAACGCATCCTGGTACGGGCATACACATTTGCAATTACTTGCTTGGCATGCTTTGACAGCTTTGATGTGCGAAGCTTCGAAAAAATTCGCGCAGGAGAGGTGGTCGAGGACGCAGAGCTGGACGCCATTTTTTCGAAGCTGCCACAACAAGTAAAAAAAAAACGGCGGCGCAGGTCGCGCGGAGAGCGAAAACCTGATACGAAAGCGACAAACATAAATTACCAACTCGCATATTTGGATTGTTTATCCGACAACACAGGCGTTTGTTTTTTAACCTGATGACAAATATGTATGCTTAGAAGTTTCCCGAGAAGCATTTATTGATTCTCGTACATCCCAAGCGACGCACTACTTTTTGGTCGCGGCAGTACACAGCGCAAACAAGAGCGCTAGCTTTGACAGCGTTGCACATGATGTATGAAACGGAGTATAGGCCTCAGCAACACCGTGCGACCAAACATGAAACATCACAGCAGGAAGAAGAAAAAAACCACAAAGAGGCACACCTGAGCGCGTGTGTGTAAGCCGTGCCTCAGCACCTGAGCCGAGGTGAGTAACCCACAGGTCACCTGCTGCCACAAAGGCCACGACATCATTGTTGCAGGGACAAAGCTGTGCGTTAAGGCGGGCACAGCTTAAAGAAGTGCGCAGCTCCACCGGGAAGTGCGGGCCACCCTGCGTCCACAAGAGGCCAATAGGTGATGGCGTTAGGTTCTTAAACAGGACCAAGTGAGTTAATTTTGTTGAACATTTCTGAACTAGCTGTCACTAATTTAAAGAGTCTGTTCCTTTATACTCACTGCACTACTCATGATAAACACACGTTATTCTACCTCATCAAATACATTCCTAATCCATACCTGCTAACGTTAACAGATGAACTATATACTGGGAGTAGTAGTTAAAGAAACCTGAAAACCTTACTCTGTAGGGATACATATTTCGGACAAGAATACTGCTATTAAACACAACAAAAAGTTTAAAACAACTGTTTTATGCCAGTATCCATTAACAAGAGACTCATGCACTTCATAATACAACCAATGTTAGTAAAGGGCACAAAAATAGGTAAAAAACTCAGTCAGGAGTAACTAGCTGACACCTGATTGAAGAATCAAACTTCTGATGCCATGGCTCTCGAGCACTGAGGCTGAATACACTGACTACTATGCCTTGAATTCAAGCAGGTCTCTTAAAATAAATGTGTTTTTCATGCTTCATGTTTATATGCTCAATGTATGTGCTATGCTATGTATATATAAAATGTTTACGTATATGACCACATGTATAATATGCTTTAGGTTATATGTTTCAAGTGCATGACATGGATACTACCATTAACTTATTGCAATGTAGCAAACTACGATATCAACCCAACGAACATCAAAGCACTGTGAAAGTGTCTCGGTGCAGCCCGGAGCACCTGCTTCCTTAGCAACTGTTTCATGATGGATTTCCTTTGTCATCGAATCAGCCTGTAACCTCTCATAGCCTCTGAAGCAAAGTTCCAGCAGCATTTTTTTTTTTTTTACAAACTGTCTACCATTTACTTGCAGTGGCACAAAATAGAAACAGAGGCACTGCAAAAAAGCAGCAACCTCAATGAGCCAATCTTGTTAAAGTAGCTGCATAGAGCCAGCTAAATACAATTTAGCAGGACGTGCAAGGGTTTCATGCATTTGATCGGTGAGAGAAGAAAAAAAAAATACTGTTGAATAGAGATGCCACCTGTCCAACCACACTAATCAATGAGCCAGCAGTAAAGCAAAACAAAACAATACATCACTTTCTGGCCGAAGCACAGAAAGTCCATTTTTCATAGCAAATAATGATCAATTTACGGCCATGTTCTAACAAGTTCCGATCCCTTTCCATGCACAGGTGATGAAAAGGCAGAGTTATTCCATCGCACTGATCTGGTTCGTTGTGCAGCGCTTGCGTGTACCCCGGTATGTTTGATGAACAATCTGCAGGTGTTAATGCGCGGGCATAGTGTTTTTCAAAACATTAACACCTGCAGATTGTTCATCAAACATACCGGGGTACACGGTATGTTTGATGACCAATCTGCAGGTGTTAATGCGCGGGCATAGTGTTTTTCAAAACGACCGATTGCCAAGGACACCAAAATGAGAATGCAAAGTGACTCGGCAATCTCGTTGCAATGTTCCCATTTCCTTCATTAATTGTTAGCACTCAATGGCATGCAAACCTGAAAAGCATGGCCTTCAGATTTGCAACCTCGTAACGTATTTTTAGTGTTCTCAGTTTTATAACACATGTCTTGAAGTTTACGCTCTTTCTAGCTTTTCGCATCAAGGCAGCTGAAAGCAGCGGCTGCCAGCTACAAAGTCACAAGTGACATTGATATCGCCAACATGTCGATGGTGGGAACTGGGCGTTATCTTTTGCGCCTTGTGGACATGTGTACTTCTCGCCTCGTTCCGATAAATCCTCGTTCGGGAGTTGAACAGAACGTTGACTCGCACGTAGCGACAAAAATCATTACTGACGCTTGGAGTGACGTCAAGTAAAGCACCCTCGTAAACTTTTCTTACGGGCCAGTTGACGACTTCAGGTGCGTCATGTCCGCTTACAATGCCGTACAGTGCCACAGTGAATTCTGCTATGTATCAGCATTTCAGACACCATCTCGGACAATAGTGAGCGACTTCATCGGTGCAGATGACGACGTAGCTGTTTCTGACTGCTTCGATGCTGAGATCATGGCTGCCGTTGCCGCGTAAGTGTACCCTCGGTTATGAATATGTAAAAGCCTTCGCTGCCGCCGCTAACCAACCTTTTGCCGCACTAGAAAGCTTGCATCGGTGTTCTACATCAATCAACGCTGTTGTGGCGGAAGGAGCTGAGTTCACTTATATGAAAAGCTTCAGTGAGATTGAGGATGACTGGAACTAGATGGCGTGCAAGAAGCAAGACAACTTTATGGACAATTTTGGTGCAAAATAAAGTGCGGTAACTTGCAGTTCACACCTTGTTCTTCATTATACAGTGAGCGAATCATCACTTCAGTGCTTGTAACGATTTGCGAGGCCTGAAATGCTTTAATTTAGGCCTGAAATACACATATTTTGTATTTTTAATTATCTATATATGCCCCTCGAGTTCAATATATCTGGGATCGACTGTACTGCCAGATCACCACTGCCGCACAGTCATGCTGCAGCCCGTCCCACACACAACAGACGGTGGAAAGGTGTGTGGTAAATCACAGACAATTACATACGCTGCACGGCTACCCAAACTAACAACTCACAAACTCCAGTTGAAAGCTTGTCAAGGCTCCCTGGAAGCGCTCATCTGGATGTAACCGACTCGCTGGCGAAAATTTTTGGCTTCGAGATACTGAGGATACTGGAGGGCAATGCGTTTGCCCTTAATGTTGTTGGTCCAGTCTTCATCAGTCATTCGAGCTTGGTAGCACCAACTGTGCTAACGTTCCTGCACTTTGTACGAGTGTGCAGCATGAACCCACCATCAGTCAGAAACAGCACAAAATCCATGCGCAGGTGGTGCAATGCATGAGATGACGTGAGCATGCCACGTGGGCGGTGTGCTTCTGTCAACATGTCGGACACATGATTTGTAATTATCTTATGATGTTCAATATACGTGTTAATATGTGCTATAAAATGACATTTCTGCAGTAATGCCTCCTTTCCTTATGTTTCAATTATGCACTTTTATGTTTATTACATACCTTGTCATTATTATATCTGTTACTTGTTTTTATAAGCACTGTGAAATGATAGGTGTTTCACTAGTGATGGTTCCTTTTCTTTTGTGTCAATAAGGCACAATGTTGTTTAATATTATATTAAGCTTGTGTAATAGCCCATCAAGGGCTCACAGTATCTATACACTCAAACCTTGCATCTTACAAAAAAATAAGTTATACCCAGAAGTTCATTTTAAAAGTACAGTATACTCTCCGTAAATGGAACCTGAAGGGATAGGAAAAATATGTTCCATTTAACAAGAGTTCCATTTACTGAGAGGTGAACATGGGTGCAGAATACACACCCGAAACCAAGCATTACAGAAGGAATAGTTCAGTTTAAGCAGTAGTTTTGTTTAACATATTTCCGTTTACTGAGAGTCTACTGTATATTCCTAACATTATATCTATTGCAAGAGTATTCTTCATTTACTTCATTAAACCAATATTTAGTTATATCCGGATTGGTTATATATAAGTTATATATAGGTACATCAACAAATAACATTTTCTTCTAAACCATAGCCATAGAACTCTTTGCTGTAATAATGCCTAACCATTGGAGTACAAAACCAAAACCATGTTGGTAGCATTGGCAACACCTTCCCATCGGGGGGATTGGTGAAAAGTTTAGCCTTGTGCGAATAGTGAATTTTAGGTTTGAAGCGAATTCGAAGTGAATAGTGATTTCGATTGAATAATTTTGATTCGAATTTGAATAGTATGTATGACATATAAAAAAAAAGAATATCATGACCTAACTAACCTGCACAATATTTCTTTTGAATTGAAATAGGGGCTCTATGCAAATGCCATTTTTTTTTTGTTCAAAGGAAGTCGAAACAACCTTGAGTAGTAGTTTCAGTTGAATGCGAGTGATAACCTGTAAGATACTTAGAAGTTTTAAAATTTATTATACTTGGAGCATATATGCCATCATAACAAGCTTAATAACACAGAGAATTGATTTGAGGGTAACATGTTCCTTTAAACGGGCCCTGCAATACTTTTTCAAGTAGCCACGGAGTCAGTAAACGTGCTTCTTGCCTCACAAAGTTACTGCCACAAATTTTCTAGAATCAGTCCAGTACGAGCGGAGTTCCAAAGATTTGTCGCACGCTACAATTGCATTTTCTCTTGTCATTCCGATGAAATAGCTGGAAGTTTAGCAGAGAGGAATGGCACGGTGAATAAAAATACGTCACACGCACCTCTCTTTTTTTTCTTCGAATACGCGACTTTTCGGTGCGATCGCGCACGTACTCGCGGACAAGCGGCGAGCTCCCACCGCGGCCCCGGTAACGACGAGCGCGCCATGCTTAAATCAGCGAATGGCTGTGACCAGAGCGGTATATTCCTTCCTGGCTGTCACAAGTGATCTTTGAGCTTGTAGTGCCATTTGCCGAGGGAAGAAAGCAATTTTTAGCTTTGAAAATTTACTGTGAATAAGAGGCCGCTTGCTGCGCTATATAATTTGCCTCACGTGTTTTAGGTGGCCTCGACTACCGATCGGCAGCCTTTTTTGACCATGTTGAGCAAGTGTTCCAGGGCCCCTTTAAATTTGAAGGGGGGCTTCGCGGCACAACAAATTTCTTTTGGACAAGTGCTTTCACGGCTTAGCACTCCTACATTGCAATGAAACCACCTTTACAGGCAGTGACATGCATATTAAACTTTTATTCATTCATTACGAATACTTCGAAAATATTTGATAATTAAAATTCAAATCAAAGCGAATTCGAATTTTCAGCTATTCGTTGCTATATTTGAAGCATTCGAATATAGCGGCACCCATATATATAGTCACTGCCATAAAAAAATGGCAGTGGAGTACAGTGTGAATTTATGCAGGACCTGTGTGCATAATATTTGTTCACAATTGGAGCAAGCGGCATTGCACAGTTTTCACTATGAAAGTGCACATCAAAGCAAAACTATATTGTGTGCCGAGGATAGCTGCACTGTAACTTTTGTGCATGCATGAGAGCTGTAACAGTAAGTAGAGCAAACACAGAGGCCTACAGCTGCATGTAGACCAGAAGTTTCTAGGGACCAGAAATGTGAACGTATCTGAACCTTCATGACAAGCTTGTGAAATTTTTCAGGCAACTTCATGTATACCAGGCTAGCCATGGCCCTTGAAGTAAAGATGAATCGGTATGCAATCAACACAGATTCTGCTTCAGAATCAGAAAAGAAACGGTACTGCTAGGAAACTAAACATTTCATTTTTCGAGGGCAAATGGCACTTGTCTGTCTGTCTCTCTTTTTTTTTTTGTCGAAATAGTGGCGTGTTATTTTCTTTTTAATAGCCAGGTGCAATTTTATTACAAACCCATTGTGCGAATGTTACATTTTTGTAAATACAATACTTGGTAAAATGATTTTTTAACCAATTAAAGCCAAATACATTTTTTTTTTGCCACTTTCTGCCCTGTAATCTGTATTCACTCTTTTAGTGTTTTCAAGTAAGTACTTGAATGCACTTAGCACATTTGTATGTCATATTTTGGTGCCCTTTCGATAAGTTGAACTTTTGATAGGATTAACAAGTTTGCGCTGTCCCTAACAGCACAGGCATGTGCACAGGGTTGGTGAGGGGGAAAGGGGGAGGGGGCACTAAGCCAGCCCCACAAATTGACATAATAGGAAGGAGGGGCATTGCTTGCCTACCATATAGTATGCGGCAAGGGCAGAGACTTAAGGTACACAGATGTCTATATATTTCGTACATCCTATACGGAACACACGATTCTACTTTTCTTTTAGTTCTCAAAACGGAAGTATTCTGGTTTTCAGAACAGTCACAAACACGGACTGTACCTGGGGCATGTCATCACAGAAAAAGAGAGAGCCACCCGCAGGGAAGACGAAACGACCATTCTGGTGGTCGAAAGTTGTGATGCCCCAAGCCATGAGGCGACGACGCTCCCACTGAAGCTGCTCCTCCCGCGACAGCCGACCGGGCGGGTGGCATCTGTGGAACTTGGGGTCCAGCAAAGGGCGCCACTGGAGCACGGGAGCAGTTGCCGAGCTTGGTGCTGCACCAGCTCCTGTTTCACCTTCACTGCCACTGCTAGCCACCATGTGCAAAGAGACAAGGCAACTTTAACAAGTTGACAGGCATTCATCTTTGGTTGAACCAGCAAGACGAAGAAAAAGAAAGAGGAGCACAGAACAGGTGCAGACTCACAACTAAGCTGTATTAGGAACAAAGTTCAGTTGCGAGTCGGCACCTGTTTCGTGCTCCACCTTCTTCATCTTCGTCCCATGCACGCTACTTCAACCAAAGACAAAAACAACTTTATTCAACCAAAGATGAAGTGTTAGCAAAACTAACCGAACCAAAGCAAAAAAGGCTTAACACCACCCAGTGTGGTGCAAAGTATGTGCAATGTATGCCGATTGAATCTTTAAAGCTGTTGCTGTAAAAGTGCGTGCCGATAAGAGTTTAGCAAGCGAGGGAGGCCCATATACTGAAACAATATTTTGTATTTTTTCCAGCCATAAGCAAAGAAGCCATAGTAGGATGACCTGTGCAATACACCATAACAACACAAACGATTCTCAGCTATCAAATAATGCACCCAAAGTTCAGGATAGCTCAAGGCCAAGCTTTCTTGTCACACAATTACTCCCTATATCAGCTGACTGTCGAGCTAGCTGTTCGAGCAGACAAAGCCTTCAGCGGCATCGATCTGCCTACTTGGTTCTCACCTAGCCAAGCCAGTGGCCTCGGCGCTGCTGCCTTGAGCTTGAAGTGGAGGCAGATCAACGTAGTGAATGCTGCTTTCTCGCCCTTCCGTCAGAGGGCTGAGGAAGTACAGCCGGCCCTTGCCAAAGGCGACGTTGCTGGGCAAACGTGATGCGAGGCCATACAAGCGGCAGCGCGTCTGTCGCACAGCCTGCCGCAGCTGTTGCCAGCTGCGCTTGGCGACACCCGGCGCCGAATCTGCTACGGCATATGGCTCGGGCGAGCCGCCCACTTCTACCGCCAGGCCCTCCATGGGCCCTAGACACCAAAGAAGATGCAAAAAAGTTATGTAGTATTTCTGCTTCCTGTAAGCATGAATCTATGCCAGCCAAACTTAACAATGTTCTAACGATCATTTTGGGAAGCACTCTCAAAAAGTAAAGAGAGAAGGAAAGTACTGACACTTGGTTGCACATGTGATCGCAGCATGCAGTTACGAGCCCCGCTCCCAGGACATTTCAGTAAGCAGTAAGAGATGTCCTACTCGGTTCACGAATCTGTGTCAGCATGTCTTCGATAGGACAACATTTTTCGGAAAATGATTTCATGCTGAGCATTTTTTGGCCTGTGGTCTTATGTTACCTTTTTAGGTGTTTACATAATGCATCATGGTACTTGCACGACAAAGCGTATATATTTTGGTGGGCATTTTTCACAACAAATAGTTGTCATCAGCACCTGCCCTTGACTGCCTTTTTTCGTTCAGCCTTCATTTGCGCTAATTTCACTTTGCTTGAAAAAGAAGGGCTTAACATGCTTTAGCCTTCACGAACATGATCCAACACACGGGCATAAAATTTGTAATTTACCTTTGTACAAGAGCGACGGTTTTGAGGCATCGAAAAAGACATATTTTGTTTCCTTGGCATGCAGTGTCAACACTCTCCACACACTGGAACTAGGAAAGATGTAGAAGATAGATGTAGAAAGATGCAGAGATATCTTTTAGTCCAATTGTAAAGTTTTTGTAACTCCGAATTTGCAAGCCTGTTTCATCCCAATGCACTATATCATGACGAGTCAACACAGTTTCTTTAAGGTTTGCAAACTCTGCACCCTGTACAAGGCCATAATTGCCAATGAAGTTTGTGTATGTCGATTCACTCACTGTTATTTACATGCAACCATACCCTACTGACTACAGAAAACAGAACTGCTATCAGTATGTCACAAGCTGCAGTTCCCATGTGAGTTATTTACATGAATCTGTGGAGACACGTTAATATGAAGCCATCTCCTCAATATTGAAACTGAAAGTGCTTTTTAAGCTAGCAGTAAAATACGCTATATGCATTCTGAGGTACCATAATGGTCTTTCACAGATTGTCAACACTGGTGTTTTTGTTCGGAGTAAAAATGCGAAAATTTTCAACATTTCCACCAGTAACCAAAACATCAACTATACCTGCTGCTGTAACTAAAGCGGGAGGTAGTTAAGTCTGCAAAAATTCATTAAAAAGCACTACGGCACATAAACCAATGAGAACAGCTTGCAGAACGCTCGATTTCTAAGATTGTGCAGATTGGAGGCCTGTGAAAACGTGATATAGTGACTATGCAAAGTCAGATTAAAGAGGCAGTGACAGCTGCACTGTCAATTCCAAAGTGAAAGCGATGCATGTGGTACTTCCTGTACAAGCAAAGCAAATGTGACCAAAGCAGATACTATTACGGAGCAAGGTTTGTACTACACGATGCCAAGGTTTAACAAGTGAAACATTTATTGTCAGTTGTTTAATGGTGACCGCAAATAGGCTCGTACGCAAACACATGCTAATTGCCAGACATTACCTTAACGAACATGAAGAAAGGAAAGCCAGAAACAACCTACAAGAGTGTGCGAGAATGAAAATATGGTCTGCAAAGGCATATTAGTGCACAAATGCTCGCTCATTGATGCCTCCCAACACCTCATGAACCCACACCAGGAACCTAACAGCCGCTTGCACGCAAATAGGAAACACACGATTGAGGTTACTAACTTATCGTGTAAGTTTGGCAGCCGTCTTTCCTTTCGATCGGTTGGCGCATCCGCTAATCAACTCTCCAATAACCCGGGCACTCTAATGCACGGCACTAGCACAGATAAGCAATGTGAAGCATCACAAAGCTCGGTTGTTTTTAGTTTTCACAATCAACCCTCCAATGCGACTGTGCTGTCAGAAAACTACGCACACAAATTTATAACCGACGGTAAAAGTTAGGGGCAGCTGTAGGTTTTCCACAGCTCTGCCAGCAAGAGGAATAGTGCGATACCGTTTGCCCACCTGATAACACAGCTGTACACAGTTACAACTCCTTAATTGGCATGTCGCCAAACCTGCGAGCACCCGACTAAAGCAACTGGCAGTTGCAGTGATAAAGCGCATTCAGGGGAATGCTCTCATACGATTATTTTTTCTTTGCACTTACCGGGCTTTCCTCGAGCTGATATGGTTTCACCTAGCAGTCCACAAAGAGATACCTACTGTCTGCGTGCATCTCCTAGCATTGCATCGTTGCAAAATACGGAGTTTTCGCAGCTGATCCCGATCCTTAGCAAAAGCCCTCTGTCGGTACATGCGCCCTACTGGTGCATGCCGCACGCGCAATGGCAGCGTCCTCTTCCAAAGCAATCAGTGAGATGGCCGCGTGGCACGCGTTGCACCCGCACCAGGCGCCGGCTCAAAAAAACATCCAGCGCACGGTATTTTGGAACACCGGACCCATTCTTCGACTGGTTCTATCTCTACTGTCGGTGCTGACGGCGCCATTGAACGCGACCATCATAGTTGTCCACAGCCTCAGGGCAGCGCAATGTAGTACAGCTAGACATAGCCACGACCGCAACCCACGCAAGCCGTGCCGTTTTTGTAAGGAGGCAATCCGAGCCAAAGCTATAGTCGACGACTCCACGAAAAGTGTGCATGGTGTGAAATGCGGTGTTTATGTCGCTCAAATTGTTGTTCCATGTGTGCGTGAAGTGATTCCAAGTCGTCTCATTCAGCCACCTAAATGTAGTGAAACAAGTAGTATTTATGAAAAATGTGAACGGTACGAACGCGTCCTTATTTTACCGTTTTTGTCAGCGTTAATTTTTTGGGGTAGAAAACCACATTCGTAAAACGGCAGTTGCTACCTGTATTTTATATTTACTGAAGGTTTATTGGCTTCTTTCAGTTTAAGCAACTAGTTCCACGTCACTCAGTTTAATTCTGTCGTTGCAGTGTTGAGCGCGTAAGTTTATCATGACGGTGCTAATAAGCGGCACACACAAACACTTTTGTGTGGTGCTCCTTGTCTTCATCTCAATAAGTTTCTGTGCTAACTGCTGTAAGAATACGTCGCACAAACATGGCCAGAAATGTACCTTTGATTCTGTAACCCGTTTGACTAGTTGCTGATGCTGAGAGATGGTGGCGGCATATCGTGGTCGTTTGTGCGAAAAAGACCGTTTCTTTTACATGCCTCTTCTGAAAGCGAGCGGACAAAAAAATGAAAACGGGACATCTCAGTTAGCCTGCTTTAAGTTAGCTAAAGTGCTTTGTGTGTTCACCTGATGAACCTGTAATGTGCTGTGCATATTAATTGTTTTGGTCTCCATGGCAGATAAACTTCCAGAAGCAAGTGAGCGAATTCGGTGGCTTCTATTATGGCAGCTTCTAGAGAGCGCCGTGCCAATGCCGGCAACAAGCTGGCCCAGCTGCTTAATGATGAAGAAGAGGACGACTTCTATAAGACCACCTATGGAGGCTTCAATGTAATGGCTGAACTGCTCAGATTTTTCGTCAAACTTGCCAACATATAAGATTTCTGTCTTTTTTGTAATCTGGCGAACATGTGTTCTGTTTCTTGGTTCTTTAACGGTTTCTTCTGTGTAGCACAGCAAATTGTGAGCGAACAAGTCGCATGAGGTGATAGATAACTCCTCCTGTCAGTATCTTCCGTTGTGTTAGGGCAGGGCTACTGCGAGGTTTGCTTTTATAAATACTGTGTAGTTTAAACACAGCGGCAAACAAAATCTTGTTTATTGTGTAAAGCATAGTAGCTTTCAATTGAATGGCTTATGCTGCAGTTATTTGCTCCTGTTGTTGACTCTTGCATAATTGGTTTAGCTTGCCCTGGGAGATAAAGCTCTTGCAAGCAGCAGTGTTTCTGGTCGAAAGCATCGTTTGCCTAACAATTTTCGGATCTGCATGCGAATTAAGCGTACAGTCAACCACAAAAGATTACAAACCATGCGAGGACTTGCCAAAAGCCTCTTTGCGACATTTCTGCTAGGTCAGCAATGATCGACAGGAACACAGTGCCCGAGATCTATCCCCCGTTAATTGATGGCCTGTCTGTTTTTTTTTAATCAAATATTTTTTTATCTTAAACTCTTTAACCTGACGTACTACTCTTTGGCAGCTGCGGCACGGCTACTTGCCTCTGTCTCGAAAGCGGTCAACATGCATAACTGTTGTCGGTCACAATCTCTCTTGCAAAGTGATATCTGCGAAGTGATTGCAAGGCTGGGCTGGTCTCTCATGTTATTGCCTTGAAGGGCGAGGGGCATTGCAATCTTTGCTGCTGGTTCCATATCACTAGTGGCAGGTTGTTTTGCTTGCCACTAGGTGGCACAAAGAAGGGCTGTGATTGCGCTGACTCCCGCTTAAACGTGTTGCCAGTAGCTGCCAGAGTGGGCAGGCCACACGCTCACGTTCTCTTCTACAAAAATTTACACTGTACATTCAAAAAAGCACTATAACCTGAAGCAATGACTTAGTTTGGCCCAGCCAGCCATGGAGTTTCCTAAATATACACTAGAGGGAACTATGGCACTAGTATCCATGGGAACTGCAGCGCATGGCGCTTCAGCGAGCATGGGAATTATGGGTAGTACATGAATTTGCCTAGTCCTCGTACTTTACGTTCCTTCTGGCTTCGTGTGGCTTGAAGCTGCTTTGTTATGAAACAAAAAATATTGGCAGCATATCCACGGAGTGAATGATGGAGAGTGGGGCGAAGCATTCGACCGTCCATTCGTTCTTGCTTCCGTCCGTCCATGTGTCCGTCTGTGTGACCGTCCATGCGTCCATCTGCCCCCGTCCGTGCATCCGTCCCTGCGTTCGTCCATGTATTCGCCGCTGCGTCCGTTCATTATTCCATCCATGATTCTGTCTGTGTGTCTGTTCGTCCATCTATTCAACACTCCAAGTACCACCGTCTCGCATCTTTTCATCATATATTCCCCATATAGAAGCACCGCCATCTAGCAGACATTCCAAGGACTAAACGAGAGGAGGCACACGCACACTTTATTATGGCTTGCGCTCCGAGTCTACTTCCCACCTCGAGTTCATGGTATATACTACTTCACTGTGTTCATGGCACTGCGGCCAGACGCTCGCTAAACCTTTCTAAAACCAAGGAGGTTACGCCCAGCGAGTATAATGTAGCAACCTTTTCCTGTCAGATAGTGCTCAATGTACATGCCAATGGCTGCTAGTGGGAAATGCGAGAAAGGAGAATACGTTTACCTTCTTACAGCTTGCGCTTCGTATATGCTTCCCACCTTTAACCACCTCGAGTTCATTCATGGTGTATACTAGTTCATTGTATTCATGGCACTGCGGCTCAACTCTCGCTAAACCTTTCTAAAACTAAGAAGGTTACACCCAGCGAGTATAGCGTAGCAACCCTTTTTTGTCAAATAGTGCTCAATGTACATGCTAATAGGGATCACAGCGTGTGCGTTAACTAAAAGCCGAATGCTCCTGTCTCTCATTCCCCACTAGCAGCCATTAGCATGTACATTGAGCACTATTTTTTATTGTTCAACAACGCACAGAAGAAATCTCTCACCGACGCCACCTTGGAGGTCAAAGTGTTATACTTGTTATATACTACAACGGCAACGAGGGACGAATGGGTGCCGCTATAAGGAGCTTCGCCCCTAAAATCAGCTAATGTTCTGCAGTTGCGCTTCACCACCATAATTGTTTAGTCTTACCACTTCAAATCAGGTCACGAAGTTCAAAAGTGTTCGTTTTTTGCCTTCCAAGCAAAACCAAAACACAGCAATAAACGAAGCCACAAGTGCGATTTGCTGCCCGCATGTACGAAAACTAGGCATATCCATGTCATACCCGTAATTCTCTTGGTCGCTGAATGATCGCAGTGCCAGAGTCCCCTCTAGTTAATTTTAGGAAACTCTATGCAGCCAGCAAGATATACCATCAGACATAAATTCACACAAAAAACTGCTGTGAAATTTATTTTACTGGCTTTCAGTGTTGTTTTGTCAGCCTGATCAAGTGGAGTCGTGGCTTCAAGGGGATTTTTGAAAACAGGGGCTCTTGTGGTACAACTTGTGTGTAAGTGGCTTGTGTATGGTGTGGCCAATGTCACTTTGGGGCATTGTCTGCACGGTGCCCCACTGAGGATTAGATCGCATGGAAGCACAGCTTTTTGGCCGCACTGATCATCCAATATTGTGGCTGTTGTGATGTTGCCAATGCATGGCAGCGGCTGAGTTTTACAAGGTTCCGCTTAGACTGCATTCTCTGAAACTTTTCAAGAGATATGTTGAGCAGAAAGTTAGTTCATCAATCTTGTATTAATTAACATTTTTATTATTTTATCTTAGTGCAAAACTATCGCTCAAAATGGCAGTGATATCATAGGAAGTTTCTTATATATTGCTACGCTGACTCTATGAGACTTTTTTGCACCTTCCAGGATGAAGAAGACGACAAGGAATATGAAACCGAGAATGATGAAAGTGATGTGGTAGACTCCGATTTCGATATTGATGAACGAGATGAGCCAATATCTGATCAGGATGATGATGAAGAAGGCGGCAAACGTAAGAGGCGAGTGGTCACCAAGGCGTACGTGGAGCCTCTCCCAGAAAAAAAGCGAAAACGGTCTGTGGAAAAAAAGGTACCTTTCTCAAAATGTTTCGAGTCCCGCCTATGTCTACCATTGTTTTCTTGGGGGGTTGTATTTCTGGCACCAAGTTTACTGTTGATATCGCTATGTTAAACATACAACTACTAGCCCAACATCTAGCAATACGAGGGCTTGTGTGAATATTCGGGCACTTCAAGATATTCAAATGAATATTACCACATTTGAACTTCCCTTGATTCGAATTTAAGTTACTGGAAATGTCGGGGCATTCCAAATGAACAAATAAGTGTGTATTAAGCCGCATGTAGCACGCCTGCAAAGGTGGTTTCACTGCAATAGACGAATGCTGTATCGTGAGTACACCATTCCAGAGAAAATCTGCACTGCCGCAAAGTCACATCGAGGTTAAATGAACATTTTATCCTCACATTGATTCTTTCTTTTTTTATTTAAGTTTAAAAGCATGTTATAACAGCTTTTATGATCTAAGTATAGTAAATTTTAAGTGTAACACATTTCACTCATTGTCACTTGCATTCTAGTGAAAGTCAAATCCTGCTACTATTCAAAGTTGTTTCCACTTTTCTTCAACAAAAAAAAAGGCATTTGCACGAACCTTGTTTTAATTTTCTTTTCAATTATTGTGCAGGGTAGTTGAGTCGTGACAAATCTGCTCATTTTTTTTATAATATGGGATATACAGTACTATTCTAATTTGATTCAAAATTATTCAAACCTAATTGCTATTCGCTTTGTATCTAAAATTTACTTTGCGCACGAGCCTACTAGTAAACATCGGATCAGTGATAACGGCAGGGAATTCTATGATTGTGTTGTTTCTGAAAAAAGTTTGCCTAACCATTGAAAGGCTGTCAAGGTGCCTCAAGCTGATATTCATTAATTCCTCTAAACATTCGTCCTTGCTATAGTACCAATTTTCTGGCTATGTTCATTTTATTTTGTAGTAAACGTAACATTTGTTTCTGACTCTTTTAAGGAGTATCTTGAAAGTATGAATCTAGCCCTTGCACTAGAATTGCATGCCCACTTTTGGAGGGTGTCCTGTGATGGACAAGGGTGCTTAGGTAGCCTATTTGGCTCATAAACATTGTGACAAAACAGTGCAGACAATGAGATGAAGAACATAAGGCACGTAGTGGTGACTGTAAATTTAATTCCTTATAGAAAAGGTAGAAAATATATAGGCAGAGGAACAAAAATCGACAAGTGGCACAAACGCTATCAAGTGACTTGGCCAGCCGACATTACTATAAACTCGTATAAGGGTTTATACGATGTGTGCAAAAGCAGATTTTATAAAAATGTAAATATGAGCAAAAAATGGCAAAAAAATAACAATGATGTGGCAGTCGGTGCGATGCTAATTAAAACTGGCCATTCATAAATCAACAAAAAACAGGGTCTAACAAAAAAGGTTTTTAAGTGAATGACAAGTCTAGAAAATTGGAGCTATGACCTATAGAACAAAAGACAGAAGCACGTGACAACAAGCTTAGTGATCACAGTTGTTGCTCAAGGCAGTTAGTTTCTTTTTTGAATAGTGCTAGGGCTAGCACTGTGTCCTGTATATTGTTCATCCTGTTGTCTGCACTGTATTGCTAGAAAAAAAGAACATGTGATGTTTGCATATTCCAACATAGGTCGCACATATGGGAGATACACTGTTAGCATGACTAGAATTGTAGAAACTTTAACAAATAGTAAGCAGAACAGTTTTTTTTTTTTTTTTCGAGGCTGAGGAGATGATCTCAATTGATCACTTCCCAAAAGTACTATGCGGGAGAAAACACGGACGGGAAAAAGACAAGAACTGCACTTGTCCTTGTCTTTTTCCCGTCCGTGACCACGCAGTACTCCAAGATCGTGTATCACTAACTGGCCCAATTGTCCACCTTGATCACTTCTATTTTACATTTCTTGATATTATTATAGCTAAGTATTTTATTGCATCAACTATCGGAAATGGAGCGGAACCAATAGCATAAATGTTCAGGAAGTCATCTTCACTTTTATTTGTCACATGTAGAACAGAAGTTTTGCTTTTATTTTCATTCTTGAAGCAGTGCAACAATCACTGACAACTGCAGAAGTGCCTCCAAGTGCTTTCTGGTCTTCTGCCTTGTAAAATTGTACCTTTATAAATTAAGCAGTCATCATTAAAAAGTTGTGCCATTCTGGCTATACCATTGTTATGCCTAGTGTCATTTATATAAATACAAAATACGAGACTTACAGCAGAGGCTTTCGGGACTCCTGAAGTAACCTGCAATTTCCAACTTTGTAACCATTTACTTTCACATATTATGTTTGTCCTCTCAGTTATGTGCCTATTGATTGTGTAGTGGTGTAGTTAATGTAGACATGCACTCATTTTTGCATTAATTCAGAGTGCAGAACCTTGCTAAAGGCTTTTAAAAAATTCAGCTATAATGCAGAAATCTGGCATCCATTACTTAAATTGCCCCGCCGCGTTGTTCTAGTGGCTAAGGTACTTGGCTGCTGACCCGCGGTTTGCGGGATCGAATCCGGGCTGTGGTGGCTGCATTTCCGATGGAGGCGGAAATGTTGTAGGCTCATGTGCTCAGATTTGGGTGCACATAAAGTAGTACCCCAGTGGTCGAAGTTTGCGGAGCCCTCCACTACGGCGTCTCGATGATTTGATTGATATGTGGGGTTTAACGTCCCAAAACCACTATATGATTATGAGAGACGCCGTAGTGGAGGGCTCCGGAAATTTCGACCACCTGGGGTTCTTCAATGTGCACCCAAATCTGAGCACACGGGCCTACAACACTTCCGCCTCCATCGAAAATGCAGCCGCCGCAGCCGGGATTCGATCCCGCGACCTGCGGGTCAGCAGCCGAGTACCTTAGCCACTAGACCACCGTGGCGGGGCGCACTACGGCGTCTCTTATAATCATATCGTGGTTTTGGGATGTTAAAACCCCACATATCAATCATCACTTAAATTGAATGTGCTGGCACAATTTTTTTTTTTTTTTCGCCAACTGCAGCAGAAAGCGGAGAAACCAGCAAAACGACGTCGCATACAAAGCTCCATTGACAAAGAAGACAGCTCAGCGTTCAGTGCTGTTCTACCTGGTGAGCGTAAGTCGGTAAGGAGGTCCACCCAAGCAAAGAGCCAAGAAACAGAGCGGAGGCGGCAGGCTCATGAGGAGAAACGCAGGCAGCGGCATACCCGAAAGTAAGCACCCTCTGCTCTCGCTTTGTGTCATGCCCTAACTACACAGGGGTCAACATTTTGTTGTGGTGTGGCAGTTGTGCATAAGTTTACGACAAACATGTAGCCATGAGATTTTTTAATTTGGTGCTGTAATAGCAGATTTACACTCATTGGATACCCTCGCTCCGCGTAGCTCTTTTCTTCGCTGCACTCTGTTTGTCAATTCGATTCTTCTCCTGGCGAAGTGGTTCTCAATGTTCTGGAACGGAGAGCATTGAGCTTGCATATATCTGCTGCTGAAAAACAGATTCTTGTTGCTGCCAACACGACTAGATGCGGATGCTGATGAGACGACTAAAACTGGTGACGCTGAAAAGCTCAGGCAGGAGCACAGGAAGGTTTTTCTACATGGTTGCTCCCGCGGCTCTTAACACTCCCGCGTTGGGCACTGTTGATTATGACAGCATTCTGAACTAGATGCACATGTTTTCTTGACATGTTAAAATACTGGATGTGATTTAAATGCCTTTAATCTTAAGCAAAGCGCTTTGGACCTATAAGGGGTTTAAAATGCAACAATCTTGGCCTGACTTTTCTTTTTGGATGCAATGCATTGTTTGGGCCTGTTAGTCATAACATGACACAACATTCACTGCATTGTGTAAAAAATAGATTATTACAGGCCCCTCAATGCCTATCAGTCTCAGTTTTGGTTTAAGAGAGCTTCAAAAACGATGAAGCCACTGGGTGCAACTTCGCCACCTAGTGTGTGCAACACTTTACAATGATAGTTCACAAAACTGAGGCTCACTTTCGCACAGTCCTCATCAAGGAGTCCTTTCGAACAAGAAACTGGATAGCAGTGGTGCCAAACACAAAACTTTCAATGCGTGCGTCACGTCTACAGACTTGGGAGCTGCCGCCGACTTGTAGTCTGCTGGTGCAAACACGCCAGAAGAAAAATGGTGGCTATGGCATCATCGTGTCTTGTATTGACCGCAGCGTGGCGACGTGAGGGAAGTAGGGGGTCAGCGTGAGGTCACGTTTGAGGATGTCAGTACTGCGAGGTGTGGCATTGTAGTGCTCTATCATGCATGCAAACTTCCGAATTTGTTTAAAATTTCATCTGAGCTGTATTCGCTGTTGACACTTTGCAAGTGATAGTGTACGAATTTTCACAGGAATCAATCCAGCAGGCTACCTTGGCTGCAAAACTTTGTGTCAGTGCCCCTTTAAGATTCTCCTTTATGCAGATGAATTACCATACCTCGTAAAGCCGGCCATTGGGAGCATTTTCAAAGAAATAAAATTTTTAACATGAGTTCAGAAAATATTAAGAGGGTACTAAATTAAAGCATTTAGTCAGTTTAGACTCAAATTATTCTTCCAGCACTCTATTGTCACAAATTTCATCATCATAGGCATTAATTAGACAAAGAAATAAAGGTCAAAGTTTCATGTTTGAATTTTGTGCCAGAACTTTGAAGTGTGGATGTCACTGTGGCGTTAGCCTTCTTGCTTATTTTGGCCACATTGTTTCAAGATATTTTCTGAAACTTGCTATATTAACCCTTTTCCTACCGAATGCATGCTGAGCCCATCCAAGTAGTTTCTACCACTCCTACAGAAGACAAGCTGGGCTCGTGCGAGCATGTGGGGGCACCGCAGTAAAGCTACCCTGTTTCGTTTTACTGTGTTCTCTTTGGCTTTGACAGATCACGCAGTAAAATAATTTATACAAATTTTCAGTGCTACGCTTCTGCTGCACAATGTCATGTTTGCTAACCCTGACATGATGCCTCAATATGGTATTTCACCAAAACAGTTTCAAACACTGGCATGGCTCTGTAGTAGAATGCCCGACTGTCATGCAGAATACCTGGAAAAATGAGGATCATTGCCTTTGAAGGCCCAGAAGCGGATACCTTTCTTTCTGTCTCCAGATTGTCAACAACTCTAACCTGTCTGCATGACGCAGCGTGATAGTATATGTGGAATAGGTTCGAGCACAAATCGACAACACGCAAGAAGAGAGGATGACTGTACGAGCCCTCACACTGAGCGCTCGTACAGTCATCCTCTCTTCTTGCGTGTTGTCGATTTGTGCTGAGCGCTCGTACAGTCACCCTCTCTTCTTGCGTGTTGTCGATTTGTGCTCGAACCTATTCCACATATACTATCACGCTGCGTCATGCAGACAGGTTAGAGTTGTTGACAATCTGGAGACAGAAAGAAAGGTGTCCGCTTCTGGGCCTTCAAAGGGAATGATCCTCATTTTTCCAGGTATTCTGCATGACAGTCAGGCATTCTACCACAGAGCCATGCCAGTGTTTGAAACTGTTTTGGTAAAATACCATATTGAGGCATCATGATTGATTGATATGTGGGGTTTAACGTCCCAAAACCACTATATGATTATGAGAGACGCCGTAGTGGAGGGCTCCGGAAATTTAGACCACCTGGGGTTCTTTAACGTGCACCCAAATTTGAGCACACGGGCCTACAACATTTCCGCCTCCATCGGAAATGCAGCCGCCGCAGCCGGGATTCGAACCCGCGCCCTGCGGGTCCGCAGCCGAGTACCTTAGCCACTAGACCACCGCGGCGGGGCTTGAGGCATCATGTCAGGGTTAGCAAACGTGATCCAGTGCGAGCGCTCGTACAGTCATTCTTTCTCCTTGTGTGTTGTCCATTTGATGCTAGCATATGTGTCTAGTATAGTTAAGATAGTATATGTGTCTATCAACTGATAAACTAGTTGATTTGCTTACTTTTAAATTACACTATTGTCAAAGTGATGCCACACTAAACTAGGGTTTAAAATAAAAATAAAAAAATTCTCATAAAAACATTGTGAAGCAATTTGCAGCTATTGGTTGGGGCCTCTTTGAGCATCGTAACTGAAAATTTGTGCAATACACGCTTCTCCAAAATCTGCAGGTCTGGTGCAGAGCACTCTTGGCATCCGACTCAAGAGGAGCTGCTAGAGGAAGCCAAGCTGACAGAGCAGGAGAACCTGCGCTCTTTAGAGTCTTATCAAAGGCTCGAGCTGGAGAAGAAAAAAGCAAAGATTGTCAAGAACACAAATCGAGGACCCATGATACGTTACCACTCCATCTCTATGCCACTAATCGAAGAAGTGGAAACGGAAGGTCTTGTTGCCTCTACAGCTCGGTGTTCCCGCAATTTCATCACATTCCCTGATGAAGCCACCCTAAAAGAACATTTTCCAGGAGGCCGGCCGAAGGCAGCAAACCGCAGCGTGTGTCCCATCACGCGTCTGCCAGCACGCTATTTCGACCCAGTCACGCTGATCCCTTATGCCAACCTGCAGGCCTTCCGAGTGCTTCGGGAGGCATACTATGCACAGCTAGAGCAAAAAGGGGATGTTCGCCAGCCAGAAGTGGCAGCCTGGGTTGAATGGCGCAAACGTAATCGGGCCCAAAGAGCAGCACTTGCCAATGCAAATAAAGCTGCGGCGGCTGCCGCTGCTGCAGCTGCTGCAACATGAAAATATGGTTTGCACGAGTTCTTTTGTAAAAGCGTGGAATTGAGGCAGCATAGAGGGTAAAGCGAAAAATTGGAGGGGGGCGGCCTTTTGTGCCCTCCACTAGCTTAGCCCCTGCTCGTAGAGCAGTTTCTGCCAGTACGTTATCCTTGGAAAAGTCGGTAAAACGTACTAACGGCTATGTTCACCAAAAACATTTTTTGTGCTGCTTCGGCTACATTTATTTCTAATACATTGGGCCTTTTAATTGTTTCGCCAATCCTAGTGCTGTTATATGTGTCTGTTTTTTATTGGTCTCCTGTTATTGCACTGTTTTAAATTTCTGATACATTTGCATCATTTTGCCCAGCTATCAAGCCTATCATCTGACACTGAATCGCTTCGTTCAAGAAGCGGGCTGCTGTTATCATTTTCTTGCACTCAACTGGCTGTCATCATTTGGCTTTTTTTCTTGTGCTTGCAAGCTAAATCCATCTACATTGCACTAATCAAGTCATTGGGCTTCTTTGAGTTCTTAGAATGAATATATTGTTTGATGTGGCAGTATGCACACACTACATGTACCACTATTGCGAAGTTCTCACAGAGGTGGATGAGCTGCGGTGGTTCATTTTTATGTGATCCTGTCACTGATAGCTACATGTAACAAAAAGATTTTTAAAAATGGGCTGATTAGTGCTGGTAAAAGATATTAAAGGGCCAGTAAACAGGCTAATACTTTTTTTACACCCCCATACAAGCTCACCAATTCGCACCATAGACGGCGGTGATCACATTTGCCGAACATAACAGCGCTGCGAGCCGCGCAGACCCTTCATTTCTAAAAACAGTCCCTTGCCTGAATAATCCACACGTAGTGTCACGTTGCCGAAGTAGGCAGAACAAGGGCAGAGTCTTGACGACTGGCCACTCCCTATAGCGGAGAAAAGTGGCGAACGGCTGCGTGAAAATTTGAAGCTGGCAGAAATGGATGTTCTAAGCCACGTAACTTCTTTATAATAGCACGTATTCGCAGAATTCTCGCGGCAGCATGTTCACATTGCAAAAGTGCACATATTTGTCTTCATTAAAATATTTTGACATTGGGGTTGTTTACTGGCCCTTTTATGAAGTATTGCAAAAAAAAAGGGTGTAGCTTGGTCTCTCAGTCACACAGTGGTGTACTTGAACCTCAGTGAAGTCGGTAAAATCGACAATTAAGAGTACACTGCAACCTTGTTTAGCTGGGTGTTGTCGCCAGCCAGTTCTTTTTTTGGCAGAGGGTCGAACATGAAAAAGAGAACTACGAGGTCCTGTTATCAAAGTACTCCGAAAACAGTTAGGTTCTGTACAACTAAATTCATTTTGTAAACCTGAGTGAACCCATTCGTAGCTCGGCTAGTGGGCCCCAGCGACGAAATTAGTCTCCCGCAAGGGCCGTGACAATGAAGAAGCACCGGGGCTGTGAGGGGAGTATCAGCTAATGTTGCCTTTTGTAAAAAGGCCTTTCCCACTTTCAGAAGGGTATTTAACCTCGGGTTTCCAGAATACTATCTCCAGAATCATATCTAAACGCCGTTTTTAAAATATGGAGTTTTAAGCAGTGGAGCCTATTCTGCACAGCACTTGATGTAGCCTAGGAAAGTGGCGAATGCGCCGGAGCAGTAGCAACCGTGGCAATAGCTCGCGTCCAAGCTACTGCGACGGTGAACATAACCGCGCCGAAGATAAAAGAAAACGTCGCCGAGCAACCGTTTACGTGATGATATACGTGTGCGCCTGCATTTTCCTTGGAGAATGTCCTAAGAAGGGCTGCTTTTAGCCGTGTCAAAGCCGTTCGAGCGTCCGAAGGTCCGCACACCCGAAGAGGCTCGGCGTTATGCAGATCGAGGACGAGATCAAAGGCGACGGTTAATTCTGCTTTTGCGGCCAAGAAAGCAACTGCTGCAAAACGTCGATGAGCTGAGGATCCGGAATATGCCCAGCGTGAGTGGATCAGGGACGAGAGCGCGGCAAAGGAACGAGCCAGGCGCAGCCAACCTCAAATTTGGTGGGCTGACGACGAGCGATGAAAGTTCGAGCAAGTACCGAGAGATTTGCGCGCGAGTTTTTAGCCCTCGAGTTTAGACGTCCGTGCAAGGTGTGTCATAGTCTATGGTTCAACGCCGACTTGTTTACGATAAGCTCTGCGCGGTGCAACGAAAAACCTGCAGAGACCTACCAAGTTCTACGAGACATGCTCCCGGAATCGAGTGATCACGGTGAATTATAACTTTGTGTAAAACGTACCAGCACAAGATAGTGCGCGGTGATCTTCCTCAACCTAGTGTGGCCAACGGCTTAACATGCCTGGTCAACCCTGCATCACGCGACCCAACGAATGCGAAGAGCAAATGGTGCCGCCGAGGATATGCAGTTCATCAACTGACGGTGTCTGGCTCGTGGTTACGGGCAGTATGGAATACGGGGACAAGGGGTCGACATGCAAGAAACTCTGGAGTTCTTATCACGCAGTGTTCCAACGAAAACAGATGAAGGATTAGAGAGAAAATAAAATAGAAAGAAAGAAGAAAGCATCTCGTTTCCTAGAGGCCAGATACCGCACCACCTGGCCATGCCGCGCATGCGCTGTAGCTAAGCCACGCTCACCGAGCGACCTCCGCCCTACAGCGCATACATAGCCTTTAGCTGCTCCCGATCGTGCCCAGAGTCATCCCAAGAACGTGCGTACTCCCGAGGAGGAAGCCGCGCATCTCAAAACTAATCATAATAATTGTTGCAGTTGAACGTCCCAAAATCATGTATTATGAGACGCCGTAGAAGAAGGCTCCAGAAAGTTCGATTGCCTGAGTGTTTTTTTTTTTTTTTTAACGTGCACTTAAATCTAAGCATACGGGCCCCAAGCATTTTCGCCTCCATCGCAAATGCGGCTGCCTGGATTTGATCCCGCAACCTGTGCTTTAGCCACTAGACCACCGTGGGAGGTGCATCGCAAGACGTGTCCATCGGCGGAAGTAACTTCGCGGTGTCGAGCTTTGCGTGCGACTAGTTGCAAGTTCCCGCTTTTATTTTTATTTTATTTTTAGGGGCGAAGCTCCTTATGTCGTGGGTCATGCGTCCGCGATGTATGTAGTAGTAGTAGCAGGTAGCCACCTCTCGTTTAGTCCTTCGAATGTCCGCTGTGTGCGGGTACTTCTATGTGATGAATATATGATGAAAATACGCGGCAGGGCGGTACTTGGAGTGTTCACTAGATGGACGGACGGACAGACAGACAGATGCACGGACGGGTGGATGTACTAATGGACGAACGCATGAATGGACGCACGGAAGGACAGTCGGACGCACGGACGGACGCTTCGCCCCACTCATCTTCATTCAAATGTCCGTGGGTATGCTGTGATTTTTTTTTTTTTACCAACAGAAGCTGTTATGAGATAAAAAGGGTCATTTTAGCGCCGCATAGTTGTCCGCCGCCGGTGTCCGTGACCACTATTGCGCGAAATGAAAAAAAGCTAAACAAATAAATAACGCAAAGGACACAATGAGATTCGCACCCGGATTCCCTGCGTTTCAGTCCTTTTTTATTATTTCTGGTTGGGCTTCACACACAAAAGGATAAGATAAGTATATTACAATACACATTATGAAGGAATTTTAAGGCGTGTTGTCCTTTCGCAGTGCTTGACGGCCTTAATAACGTTTGTATTGAGCCATGTCGGTGCTTGAAACTGTATTGCAAACAGACCCTAGGCAGTCTTGATATCGGGAAAAGAGTCGCGTCAATTTGAGTAATAAAGCGTTTTAGAACAGCAAGAGAACGAACAGAGGTCGCACAATTCGAATTGCGAAACAAGTGGGTCGTCGAAATTCTTCTCGTCGTCGTCAGCCACAGTATAACAAAAAAATTGCACCAAATTTCTTGTGTGTAGCGGGCACCTCTATTCCCCGAAAAATGACGAAGCATGACGTAGTGAATGGCTCCCTATGACACAAAAATTATGATGAATAATGACGCAGCAGGTACCCTGCAAGTGTGCTTGTAGCAGTTACCCAAAGAGTGTTTAAAAAAGGCTCTGTAAGGTGGCTCTTCCAGCTTTCGCTGTGACTGTGCTGCGCGTTCCAGGCTGCCTGCATGGCGTGTTTGTTTGTCTGTCCTTTCTGACGGAATAATCAAGAGACCGCATGAGTCTTGATCGATCAGCGATGTCTGTTATGCCAACTTCGACTTATGTCCCCGTCGATTGGGCTTAGACATTCTATTTGGTAGGATTCTAAAAATCTGATGATTCAACGGCAAACTTAATCAATTGCTTTTTCTCGTATGTCGTTCTATGTTATAACTGCAATGATCGAACCAGGAAATTGTGGCGACTTCTTAGTAAAGTGTTATCGATGTAGAAAGCACAGGCATTTTTCATTTCGGTAATCATATATTCTTCTGACACAGCACAACTTTAATCAAAATTCTCAGTTTAAATTCTCTACATATTTTCTCTTAATACGATCTTGTATTGACTTCGACTTTTTTTCAGCGCGAGGAAAGAAGAAAAAAAAATCAAAAGGCTGGACAGTTAGAACGCTGAGAAGTGCGAAGCTAGACAACACTCTTCTGCTGCCGAAAAATGCCGCATTCAAACTTCCAAGTTTCAACCAGCCCAAATTTACGCTTTGAATTTTGTATCGAACTGAACGGTCCTGAATGACAATACGGCCGCGCCGCGCAAGAGGGATGCCAGCCGGCAACTTACATCATACTCCTCAAAGAAAGATGTATTGTGTTTTTCTTAATTGATCTATTGTTGCATAATCAACCGAACTTAATTGTATATTATTTTACTACTCAAAGATTTCTTTTCTGTACGCGAAAAGCTGTTGTGTAGCCGGTGTCTCTGAAAGCGACACATTAATTTAAGCTGCCTCTCCCCTCCGGCTGTCCATACCTCGTAGTGGGAAATAAAGAGCAGGCGCAGCAACGCCGCCAATCCACCACAGTGGGTAGGTGAACAGAAACAATGTCACTCAGCGGCGACAACATGTCTTCGCAGCTGTCTTCTTCCGAAGCGAGCCGACTGAGCAATTCATCGCTGCCAACCAGCGAATCCGCACTCAGAAGCCGAGCGTCGGAGGCCTCGCTCTTCGTCAAGGAAGGTGGCCAACGGAGAAAACCGCCCATTCTGGTGGCTGCTGGGGAGCGGAGGCCCAGCCGCACTCGTCAGGGGAGGCGCATCACCTGGGACCTGACGCCCGACTTCGAACCAACTGCTACCGAATCCGGCAGGCGA